GGTGAGCTGAGATCTCGACATTGCACTCCAGCCTGAAGACACAGCGAGACTCCACCTCAAAAAAAAAAAAAAGAAAGAAAGAAAGAAAGAAAAAGAAAAGCACAGAAGAAAAAAAAAAGTCATCTTAATTCATGCAAAAATACATAGCCTTACCAACAATCACAGAAAAGTCAAACTGAAACCGTAATTATATATCCATTGAGCAAGCAAATTAAGTAACAATGGACGTTCCAGCACAAGTTCATGCTGCTGATAACCACATAAGTGGTCCGGTCTTTCCAGAAAAGTACTTGGGCACTGCACAGCAATTACAAAAAGTTTTTAACTCCACTCTTGGAAAAAGCTAAAAGGGCTTCTTTACGAATTGTAAAGAGCTGTATAAACTTAGGTGATTAATTCCCCAAGGATTACATTAGCCCAAGAAGATACCTCTATTCCCCACCCCACCCCCAGCATTTAGCAACACCACTTAGCTTCTGACATGCCACAAACGATCACAATGGTAGAATATGCAATCCTATTTATGCAACCCCTCTCAAAAAACCCTGAGTACTTAGATATACATATATGTGAATTCTTATAAATGCACAGAATATCGTTTGGTTTTCTTAATTTTTTTTTTTTTTTGAGACAGAGTCTTGCTCTGTCACTCAGGCTGGAGTGCAATGGCATGATCTCGGCTCACCGCAGCCTTTGCCTCCTGGGTTCAAGGGATTCTCCCGCCTCAACCTCCCAAATAGCTGGGACTACAGGCACCCGTCACCATGCCCAACTAATTTTTGCATTTTTAGTAGAGACAGGGTTTCACCACGTTGTTTGGCCAGGCTGGTCATGAACTCCTGACTTCAGGTGATCCACCCACCTCAGCCTCCCAAAGTGCTAGGATTACAGGTGTGAGCCACCGTGCCCAGCTCAGATTCTGGTTTGGAAGGATACATGTTAAACCAGGTCACCTCAGCTTCTGAGGAAGAGCTTCTGAGGAAGAGCAAGGTTGTGACAAAGGCAAATTTTCATTTTTACTGATTTCACTATGAGAAATGTACCTATATATTACTCATGTACTTCACAAATCTCCTTCCACTAATAAAAAACAAAGGCAAGTCAACAGAAGTTGGGAATTGTCTAGTTAGGTACATCCTCCTGAATTCTGCTATTAGGATGACTCTGCCTGAAGTGATTAAAAGTTTCCCGGCCGGGTGCAGTGGCTCACGTCTGTAATCCCAGCACTTTAGGAGGCCGAGGTGGGCAGATCGCTTGCGGTCAGGAGTTCGAGACCAGCCTGACTAACACGGAGAAACCTTGTCCCTACTAAAAATACAAAATTAGCCGGGTATGGTGGTGGGTGCTTATAATCCCAGCTACTTGGGAGGCTGAGGCAGGAGAATCGCTTGAGCTTGGGAGGCAGAAGTTGCGGTGAGCCGAGAACACACCATTGTACTCCAACCTGGGCAACAAGAGCAAACGGCTGTTTCTAAAAAAAAAAAAAGTTTCCCTAAACCAGGCACAATGTCACATGTCCTTAATCCCAGCTATTCTAGATAACTTGAGCTCAGGAGTTCAAGTCCAGCCTGAGCAACGAGATAAGACCCCAGTCTCCAAAAATGTAAATCAAAAAATTTTAATAAAATTAAAGTTTCCTTTGATTCCATGTACTAATCTGTTCTTAGTTCAAGTAACGGTAAAATTCTGGCACTATTATGACTAGAAGACCCAGAAAATCTTAACCAAATACCCTTCCCTGTAAATGTATTAGAGATGTGCAGAGAATAATGAACCAGTCCAAATCATTTAAGACTGCTGGAGGCCAGGCGCAGTGGCTCACGCCTGTAATCCCAGCGGGAGGCCAAGGTGGGCAGATCACGTTGAGGTTGGGAGTTTGAGACCAACCTGACCCCATCTCTACTAAAAATACAAAAAATTAGCTGGGCATGGTGGTGGGCGCCTGTAGTCCCAGCTACTGAGGAGGCTGAGGCAGGAGAATCGCTTGAACCCACAAGACAGAGGTTGCAGTGAGCCGAGATCGCACCACACTGTACTCCAGCCTTGGTGACAAGAGCAAGATCCTGTCTCAAAAGACTGCTGGCCTCAGCCATGTGGAGTAACGTTTTCTCATAATCAAACTAGGCATAAATCACATGAGCGATTCAGGTTTTCACACCTGCTGGTCCCTCTGTCCTTTTCTGGGTAGAGAGAGGCCCTAGAGCATGACACATTGTCCCCGAATCTATGCAAACTTTACCACTTCCTGTCCCAGGCAGAGGGTGAAAAGAAAATGAGAAAGGCCTAGCACCAAAAAGGCATCTTGTAGAAGGAAGAGCAGCTGGGCACGACCTTGGGGGATCTTCTCCCTGTGATTTCTGTTTTCATTTCCCCCAGTACAGGATCATGAGTGCAGGTACAAATAATCTGTTTCTTCATGGTAACATCAAAATCTTGGATGCAGTTATTGGACAGATGAAATCAAGCAGCTGTGAAAACCTAACTTGGTCATGTCATTTAGGCCTAATTCATTATGAGAAAATCGAAGATCTCAGGGGGGCAGATCACCCGAGGTCGGGTGTTCAATACCAGCCTGGCCAACATGGTGAAATCTCGTCTCTACTAAAACTACAAAAATTAGCTGGGTGTGGTGGCATGCACCTGTAGTCCCATGGCTGAGCTCAGCAGTCTTTTTTTTTTTTTTTGAGACAGGGTCTTGCTCTGCCGCCCAGGCTGGAGTGCAGTGGCGCAATCTCGGCTCACTGCAACCTCCGCCTCCCAGGTTCAAGCAATTCTCATGCCTCACCCTCCTGCGTAGGTAGGACTACAGGTGTATGTCACAGACCTCGGCCCAAGCCATAGTATATGAATTTGTAAAATCTAACCATGTGTGCATTTTAAAGTCTCTTCCTCCCCACTGACTGGTTAGTTCCTCATGTAGTTCTGATTACAACCGTACTGCTCTAACACCAATCAGATCAGCACAGCTCAGTAAGTCAATGTAAGCCTTCCCTGTTACAACGGGAGTGGGGTCTTATTTCAAATATATTTTTTTGAGACTGTCTTGCTCTGTTGCTCAGGCTGGAGTGCAGTGGCGCGACCTCTGCTCACTGCAACCTCTGCCTCCCAGGTTCAAGCGATTCTCCTGCCTCAGTCTCCCAAGTAGCTGGGATTACAGGTGTGCACCACCACACCCAGCTAATTTTTTGTATTTTTAGTAGAGACAGGTTTCGCCATGTTGGCCAGGCTGGCCTCCAACTCCTGACCTTGTGTTCCACCCATCTCGACCTCCCAAAGTGCTGGGATCACAGGCACGAGCCACCACACCCAGCCTTAAAGAGTGATTTAAGGCCAGGCGTAGTGGCTCACGCCTGTAATCCAAGCACTTCGGAGGCCAAGGCCGGCGGATCACCTGAGGTCGAGAGTTCAAGAGCTGCCTGACCAACATGGTGAAACCCCGCCTTTAAAAAAAAAAAATATATATATATATATATATACGTATATAAATATATATATAAATATATACGTATATATGTATATAAATATATCATATATATACATACATATATATACATACATATTTTTTTTAAAAAAAGGAGTGATTTAAAAACAGAGTTCAGGCCAGGCACGGCGGCTCATGCCTGTCATCCCAACACTTAGAGAGGTCGAGGGGGCAGATCACCTGAAGTCAGGAGTTTGAGAGCAGCCTGATGAACATGGTCAAACCCCGTCTCTACTAAAAATACAAAAAGTAGCCAGGCATGGTGGTGCACACTGTAATCCCAGCTACTTGGGAGGCTAAGGCAGGAGAATCACTTGAATCCGGGAGGTGGAGGTTGCAGTGAGCCGAGATTGCACCACCACACTTCAGCCTGGGTGACAGAAGCAAGATCGCATCTCAAAAAAAAAAAGAGCTCAGCAGGATGGCCAGGTAAGATAAACATTCAAAATCACCAACTGTTCTAAGTGCAAACTCTAAGCAGTCAGGGGGGAAAAAAGGTACTTTCTCACAGTAGCAACAAAAGCATACTGCAAGCCAGGCAGAGTAGCTCACGCCTATAATCCCAACACTTTCAGGGGCTAAGGCAAGAGGCTCACTTAAGACCAAGAGTTTGAAATCAGCTTGGTCAACATAGCTAGACCCCATCTCTACAAAAGAAAAATAAGAAAATTAGCCAGACATGGTGGCCTGAACCTGAACTCCCAGCTACTCAGGAGGCCAAGGTAGAGGAGTTGCTTGAACCCAGGAGTTCAAGGCTGCGGTGAACTATGACTGCACCAGTGCCCTCCAGCCTGGGCGACAGAGCGTCCCCAAAATAAACAAACAAATAAATATACGGCTGGAAGTAAGTATAAGTTAAAAAGGTTCTGGTGCTCGGGGGATGGGGGCACCTGATACAATTACTTTGAATAAAATTATAAAACCTTACTGTAGAGTGTTTTTAAAAATCCCGGGGCAGGTGTGGTGGCTCATGCCTGTACATAATCCTAGCACTTTGGGAGGCCGAGGCGGGAGGATAACCTGAGGTCATGAGTTCGAGACCATCCTGACCAACATGGAGAAACCCCATCTGTACTAAATACAAAATTAGCTGGGTGTAGTGGCACATGCCTGTAATTCCAGCTACTACTCAGGAGGCTGAGGCAGGACAATTCGCTTGAAACCAGGAAGCAGAGGTTGCGGTGAGCCAAGACTGTGCCACTGCACTCCAGCCTGGGCAACTAGAGCAAAACTCCATCTCAAAAAAAAAAAAAAGAAAATCTCAGCAAGCAGAGAAATGTCATATTTTTTAGTAGAAAGGCAGTTTTATAAAGATATCGATGCTCCCAAAGTTAACCTTTATGTTTAAATTAAAACTCTAAAGGGTTTCTTTTGGAAATCTGAAAAACTGATATTTAAGAATTACCTGAAAGGATACAATCAATAATTATTAAAAATAAGAATGAAAACTTGCCCTATAAGACAAAATGTACTGCAAATCATAAATAATACTGTATTTCCAGATTCAAGGCACTACTGTAAAGAAAGTGTAACTTTATTTAACACCCAAGTCTACTTTTTGCACAATGCACAGACACTTTTGGGACAGTGTATGGTTAAAAACTAATATTCTCCAAACAGCTTGATGCTGCTCTAGGTCATCCTGAAGGAAAAAGTCATCAGAAGGACCCGGGTCTCGACATCCCAGGACTGGATGTTAGCCCCTCCCAATGGTAATGGCGAAGTCCTAATTCTCTTCTGCAAACAGATTCTCTGCATTCAGCTGGGCTTTCCTTATGCTCTCCAAGTTCAGTTGTTGATATTTTCTTTTAAAAAAGCCACACTGAAACAAAGGAAGGGAAAGTCCAGTTGCAGGCCGAAGATACCCATCTGTTTCAGAAACCCGCCCTTCTGGCTGCTGCCCAGATAGCCGTTCGTTCCTCTGCTTCTCACGCTTCCTATTCCCTTCTTCCACCTTCCTCCGAATCTCTCCTGGACTGTCCAATCCCTCCAGGCCCTGGGTGCTCCTTCTTCAATCAGAACGGATTCCACCTTCCTCTGAACCCCCATCCCCCGGGCACTTGAACCTTTTTAACTTTACTAATTACGCAAAGCATAATTTCAGTTGCACTGGATCTAGTCTTATTTATGCAAAAATACTTAGTATATAGTCTATGATGCTGAAGAGAGAAAGAGATCAAGCACAGCTTCCTACGTGAAGTTCACCGTCTACTAGAAAAAGAGATCATTACAATTACAGTGTGGTAACTGCCACTTGGGGTTTCCAGAAGGGAGCTCACAGCAAAAGCACAGAAGCCAGCACAGAGGACTCGGGAATCTCTAGACTGCTTTCCGGGAAGACACTGAACACAGTGAACAGTCACAAAGGCCATTCCTGACAGGAGAAACGGCCTGTGCAGAGGCAGGAACCTGTGTAGGGAACAGTTCGACTTGTTGGGAGCGAGGCCAGGTGCTCACGCCTGTAACCCCAGCACTTTGGGAGGCTGAGATGAGGGCATCCTTTGAGTCCCAGAGTTTGAGACCAGCCTGGGCAACACTGGGAGACCTTGTCTCCACAAAACGCAAATTAAAAAATTAGCTGGGTGTGGTGGCATGTGCCTGAATAACAGTACCACCTACTCAGAAGGCTAAGGTGCGGGGACTGCCTGAGCCTAGGAGTGCAAGGCTGCGGCGAGCCATGATTGCGCCCCGGAACTCCAGCGTGGGAAACAAAGCAAGACCCTGGTTTTTTATTGAAAAAAAGAAGGACCAGGGGTGGTGGCTCATGCCTGCAATCCCAGCACTTTGGGTGGCCAAATCGGGTGGATCATTTGAGGTCAGGAGTTAAGAGACCAGCCTGGCCAACAGGGTGAAATGCCATCTCTACTAAACATACAAAAATTAGCCGGGCATGATGGCTCATGCCTGTAATCCCAGCTACTGGGGAAGCTGGGGCAGGAGAATTGCTTGAACCCAAAGGTGGAGGTTGCGGTGAGCCAAGGTTTTGCCACAGCACTCCAGCCTAGGTAAAGAAGCGAGACTCTGCTCAAAAAAAAAAAAAAAAAAAAAGTAAGGCCAGGCATGGTGGCTCACACCTGTAATCCTAGCACTTTGGGAGGCCAAGGCAGGTGGATCACCTAAGGTCACGTGTTCAAGACTAGCCTGACCAACATGGTGAAACCCTGTCTCTACTAAAAATATGAAAATTAGTCAGGTATGGTGGCACACACCTGTAATCCCAGCTACTCAGAAGGCTGAGGCAGGAGAATTGCTTGAACCCAGGGGCGGAGGTTGCAGTGAGCAGAGATTGCACCATTTCATTCCAGCCTGGGTGACGTGGCACAACTCTGTCTCAAAAAAAAAAGAAGAAAAAGCAACACTTAAGGGCAGAGAGGGATAGAGGACAGAAAGGAGAGGATCTTAAATAGCAGAAGAAGAGTTTGCACATTAAGACAGGGGAAGGCAAGGAAAGGATTTCAACAGGGGAACAACGGTCACCTCTGTTTTAAGGCCTTACCATTAAGGCCTCTTCCAATTAAGTTATAAATGCTGGCCTAGGGTTGGCCTTCCAGGCCCTATTTAACTCCTAGGTAGCGGAAGAGGAAGGTACCAAAGAAACAGATATAAAATCACTTTTTATTATTCAATTAGGGTTTTCTTTTTGCAGACAGATACTGTTTTACTCATTTGTCTAAAAGTGGGTGTGTAGTTGAAGGAAGAGAAAAAAGTGGCCAGGAGGCCAGGGCGGTTGCTCTAAGTCAGGGGCTGGCTGTCCTAGGGAGCTCTGCGCCCAAACCGGAGCCCCGTCTTCCCTCCCGGTGTGACAGGAGCGGAACTGACCTTGAACAGGATGGCTAGAATCACAATCAAAACCAGAAGTCCACCAACACTGCCCTGGATGATGACAGGCAAAGAAGAGGGTTTCTCCTCCTTCAGGAAGATGACCGTGATCTACACAAGACAAAGATCATCCGATGAATCAGGTGAGGCAAACAAGGAAAAACTTCTACACGTTATTTTAAGGAGCAAAACACGAGCACTTGGCAACATCCTGTGTATTGATCAAAACTGACGACAGTCAAGCAAAAAGCAAAATATTCCCTGACGCAGCATTTTAAATCATCTAAAATTATCCAATCATCCAAAGACTTAGTGAGAAACTATTCGGGCCTCTTATCTAGAAGGGCTAGATCTCTCAGGAGATTGTGACCTTCTGTTAAAGATGCTCTGACAGCTTCAAAGAGGGCCCCAGGGAGTTCAGTCTCCACCCAGGACAGCCAGACAGTCATGCAGCTGCGTGGCTCTAAGCCCCGGAGCCCCATGCCTATTCTTTAAAATGATGACTGGCTTCAAATGATCTCCAAGCCCTTTCCAACTCTGTTCTGACGGCTCCTTCTCATCTTGCACAGATCCCTAAAGGCTTCGGTAATACATTTCCCTACACGAAGTACATGACAAAAGTACTGCTCTCCACCTCACCAGACTAGAAAGTGTGTACTACCTAAGGGACATCATAAATGCAGATTACATCCGTGTGTACTCCTTGTAGAGCTCAGCTACGAGAGTCAGCCTCGGCTTTTGTTTTCCACAGGCTCTCCCACTTTCCGGAGTCTCACCTCTCTTCGAGGAGGGCTCAGCTGGAAAGTTCAGGGGATGTGCTTCCTGAGATCCAGGTATGGCCCTTCCAAGTTGTGGCCACAGCACGTTCCCAGGACTTGGGTGGGGCCAGAGAGCCAAGAAGACTTCTCTGCCCACCTAGAACACTGAGTTCCCTTCATGCATACATTTAAATGCCAAGGTCAGGGATGCTTTGGAGAGCTTTCTGTACAGCGTGAAGGGCTGGACACACTTACCTTCAAGGCCTCTTCCAATTAAGTAGTAAGTGCCGCTGACCTAAAGTCGACCTTCACTTTCACTCACAGGTCCCCTTTCACTCACAGGTAGCTGAACTAATAGGAGTGAAGTCCAGGCCTTGAGAATAGGGAGGTGCCATAACAACAAAGAGGGAGGAAGAGCAGAAAGAGGGCCGGAGTACTCCTCTACAGGAGAAGGCGGACTCCAGAACCTGGGTTTGGTAACTGAAAGGAAGTCCCGAGGTGACCGTCGGGAAACAGGCCGGATCTGAGTAGAAGAAAGGTCCCTATTTTCAAAGCCGTCTCCCTTTAGCCTCTTCTAAACCCACAGATTCCCCAAGGTGTCCCAACGATGCCCTACAAGAGGTTAAGGGGGAAGCGGGACACCGGGTACCACTGCCTGCAGCAAACACTCATGCTGGTACCCAGAAACACCGACGCGGGCACCCAGAAACACCGACGCGGGCATCCAGAAACACCGACGCGGGCACCCAGAAACACCGACGCGGGCACCCAGAAACACCGACGTTGGCGGCCAGAAACACCGACGCGGGCACCCAGAAACACCGACGCGGGCACCCAGAAACACCGACGTGGGCACCCAGAAACACCGACGTGGGCACCCAGAAACACCGACGCGGGCACCCAGAAACACCGACGTTGGCGGCCAGAAACACCGACGCGGGCACCCAGAAACACCGACGCGGGCACCCAGAAACACCGACGCGGGCACCCAGAAACACCGATGCGGGCGGCCAGAAACACCGACGCGGGCGGCCAGAAACACCGACGCGGGCACCCAGAAACACCGACGCGGGCACCCAGAAACACCGATGCGGGCACCCAGAAACACATGCGGGCCTGCCCAGCGCCCACTCTCCCCTGTCAGATTTTGTTCAGACTCATGACCGGTCTAAGGTGATCATGACACAGCTATCTTTGCCAGTGACTGACATGAGACTCAGATCTCACTAATAAGATGTAAGAGGATGTCTCCTGGGAGCTTTTGGGAAATGTTTCATCCCTGAAAACGGAAGGCACGTGAAGAAAAATCCTTTTCTACTGAGTTCTTCCTGTTTTGTATCCTGCCATGTGAAAATACAGCCTGTGGAGATGTGGGAAGTTTGTGCTGGCCGAGTAGGAAAGCATCCCCAGCACAGCAGAGTGCAAGGCCCAAGGAAGTCAGACCATCGCCCCAGGTCGCCATAACCAGCATACGCCCTTCGGCTGTGTCAGCTGGACTTTCCCCTTCCTGTGGCTGCAATGTATTTGGATACACAGTTATTTATACTCACAGAGTCGCTGTGAGTCAGGTGCTTATTACTGTCAGGAACCACTTAATACTTGGCTTAGGGTATTGGATTTAAAGAAAGGAATTTTGGGGAATCTGCTATAGAAAGAAAAGCATCAGTAACTAAGAGGGGGAAATATATCAATTTAAAATGTGCACAGAAGAAACTTACTAGTAACTCCTCCCTGCTGGGGCATAGGAAGGAAGAAAGTGCAGAAGCCATTATTTTTCATTTCGTACCGTTCTCTGTATGGCTTGGGTTTTCTTGCTATTACTTTTATTTGTTAAAATCTGGGGCTCTTCTATTTCTTCCACATTGTTTTCTAAGTGGTATTAGAAATACACTACTTAGCCGGACACAGTGGCTCACACCTGTAATCCCAGCACTTTTGGAGGTCGAGGTGGGAGGATCAACTGAGGTCAGGAGTTCGAGACCAGCCTGGCCAACATGATGAAACCGTGTCTCTATTAAAAAAAAAAAAAAAATTAGCCAGGCATGGTGGTGGGCACCTGCAATCCTAGCTACTCGGGAGTCTAAGGCAGGAGAACCACATCAACCATGGAGGTAGAGGTTGCAGTGAGCCAAGATGGCACCATTGAACTCCAGCCTGGGTGACAGAACAAGATTCCACCTCAAAAAAAAAAAAAAAAAAAAGAAGAAATACACTATTTAAAAAGAAACAAAAATGTCATATTGACATGTCCACACAATTGCTCCTTTCTCCTCCTCCAGGGAATAAAACAGAGGGCCTTATATTTAGCATCCAGCATCTCTCTCCTGACACCCCGCTAGTAAACAATCATGACTAACTAGAGAGCTCACAGACAGATCACCTCTGAAGGCATGTCCAGACCAAGTGCCAACAAGAATGAAAACACAGGGTAACACACACAGTGTTCAGTCCATAAATCACAGGCATCAGTTTCACTTCTAGTCATACTTTGGCAAAAAGAATTCCAAGAGTTGCAGTATATAGTCTAAATCTTATAAAAGACTTACGCAGTCCTGAGTACTGTTTAATACTATAAACATATACTGCACACTAAGACAGTTAAGATATACGAAAAACAATTTCACACTTAGGAAATTTTATTTACTTATTTATTTTGAGACTGAGTCTTGCTCTATTGCCCAGGCTGGAGTGCAATGGCGTGATCTTGGCTCACTGCAACCTCTGCCTCCTAGGTTCAAGAGATTCTCCTGCCTCAGCCTCCCGAGTAGGTGGGATTACAGGTGCCCACCATCACGCATGGCTAATATTTGCATTTTTAGTAGAGATGGGGATTCACCATGTTGGCCAGGCTGATCTTGAACGTCCAACCTCAAGTGATCCACCTGCCTAGGCCTCCCAAAGTGCTGGGATTACAGGTGTGAGCCACCGGTGCCCAGCTGGAAATTTTTTTTTAAATCAATACATTTTCAAATCACAGTATATACTGCAATTGATTCCAGCCTAGTTACTTCAACTCAGAACTCCTCAGCTTAGGCCTCTTACTCAAGTGCCTTATTTCACAGGTGAGGAGCTGACTCACTCAAGGCCACAAAGGCAGCGATGGCAGAGCCAAGATCAGAAGTGTTCAGGCTGAAAACAGGCAAAGGGCAACAACAGAATGTCTCTGCAGGCCCTCAAAGGTGAGGCACCGTCTTCCTCGGGCACTGCTCAGAAGCCAGCCAGCAATTACCTTAGTTCTGTGGTTCTCTGCATTCAGCCCCTCATATAGAGATTTGTTGAAATATATTTCACCAAGGATTTCCAGTTCAGTCACATCTTTTAGTAACTAGAAGAGAGGGAAAGGAAAGAGGAAAACAAAACATATTTTAGACATGAACTCATTTTTGTTTCTTTTACTTTTTTTCTTTTCTTTTTATTATTTTGCTTTTTGCTTTTCTTTTTTTAAGTTTTCTTATCTTTTTTTTTTCTTTTGTGTGAACTCATTTTTTTTTTTTAACAGCATTCACTACCTTTCTCTTTAAGGTATCTCTGGGATTAGTTAATGGCCCCAACATACACAACACAACACAAAGTTACCCAAACAAGAAATCCATAGTTATTCTTCAACATTTGTTTTTTGAGACAGAGTTTCGCTCTTTCGCCCAGGCTGGAGTGACGTGGAGCCATCATGGATCACTGCAACCTCCGAACCCCACCCCCACACCTCTTCCCTACCCCGCTTTATTTCAGGCAATTCTCCTGACTCAGCCTCCCAAATAGCTGGAATTACAGGCACCCGCCACCACGCTCGGCTATTTTGTATTTTTAGTAGAGACGGAGTTTCATGATGTTGGCCAGGCTGGTCACTCCTGATGTTGTGATCCGCCCACCTTGGCCTCCCTAGGTGTTGGGATTACAGGCGTGAGCCACTGCGCCCAGCCTATTCTTCAACTTCTTTTCCCTTGTGCCATCCAAAGTCAGTTCTTGACTGATTGATCTATTTTTGAGATACGGTCGCTGTCACCCATGCTGGAGTGCAATGGCATGATCACGGCTCACTGTAGGCTCAACCTTCCAGGCTCAAGTGATCCTCCCACCTCAGCTTCTGGAGTAGCTGGGACCGCAAGCACGTGCCACCACACTGGGATAATTTTTGTATTTTTTTGTAGAGACAGGGTTTTACCATGTTACCCAGGCTGGTCTCAAATTCCTGGGCTCAAGCAATCTACCCACCTTGGCCTCCCACAGTGCTGAGATTACAGGCATCAGCCACTGCACACAGCTTGTTTATTTTATTTAATATAAGAATTTTTCTTTTTTTTTTTTTTTTTGAGCCAGAAGGTCTGGGTGTCATTTACTTACAGCAGTTTACACACATTTGTTTCCTTCCCAGCACAGGCACAGAGCCCTTGAGAAGGGCAGTCTCTGAATGGGGGAGCCAGGAACGCAGGTCGGACATGTCTTTGGCAGGCATGTTCAGGCCCAGCACGATGCAATCCTTCAAGTTGGAATTCCACTGGGTATTTGAGAAGGACCAAGGTGGGGGGTAGAGAGGAAGTCTTCGACAGGACTCACATCTCGGTCCAGGCCTCGCCTCTCACTATCCAAGTCCATCCAAGTTATAGGACCCTGGGGGTCAACAATCAGGCCCACCCACCTCAAGAGGGGCAGATTCTTCAATCTGTGCCCAGTTCACACACACCTGCTTCCGCTGGTCGCATAGTTAAAGAGAATCAGCCTTACGGTAAGAGACAAATCGCTTCCTCTCTGCCCCACCCCAGCACCTCTCTTCAGGGGCATCTACGCGGGAACTGCTGGGAAAACGGAGGCCCGCCTTCTCAGTTCAGCCATGTGCTCTCATCCACAAATCTTGCAACATCGGTGTCAGGATGGAGGCCACCCATGGACCCAGGCAGACACCTGTGCTCCCCAGTCCATCACACACTGCCCTACCTGCGTGCTGTCAAATGCTGGTGCCCAGGCCGGAGCTCCAGCAGGCCCCGAATTGGGACCTAAAGCCAGTTTGCATAGGCACTTGGCAATTTTTGGCAGGGAGGTGGATAAAAAAGTAGATGGACGTGGGAAGAATGAAAGTGTTTCGGCCGGGCGCGGTGGCTCAAGCCTGGAATCCCAGCACTTTGGGAGGCCGAGGCGGGTGGATCACGAGGTCAAGAGATCGAGACCATCCTGGTCAACACGGTGAAACCCCGTCTCTACTAAAAAAAAATACAAAAAATTAGCTGGGCATGGTGGCGCGTGCCTGTAATCCCAGCTACACAGGAGGCTGAGGCAGGAGAATTGCCTGAGCCCAGGAGGTGGAGGTTGCGGTGAGCCGAGATCACGCCATTGCACTCCAGCCTGGGTAATAAGAGCGAAACTCCGTCTAAAAAAAAAAAAAAGTGTTACATTTGATAGACTAATTAGAGATCTGAAGTGATTTTACCTTTATTTCCTTCACTTTAAGCCAATCATGAAATTTCACAGTGATTTCTGGGGTGGGGGCAGAAGGAAGGCGGTATCAAGAATCACTGGGGCTGTGGCCCAGTCGGCCCGTGGAGGTGCAGCTAAGGTGGCCCTCACTGCAGCTGGAGGAGCACTGACTGCCCCGCCGGCAGGTAGGTGATGTTCTGAGAGCGTGACAGCTGGTACGCGATGTCCTCCGCGGCTTCCAGCTTCCGCAGCTCGATCAGGCCGTCCCCTGCGGTGACCAGTGAGTTGGCAATCAGCTCAGCTGCCTTGGAGTCGCCCTCAGCAGAGATGATAGCCGCCTTTTTCAGCTGCTCAGCCTTTTCCACCACAAATCTGGCCCTCTCTGCTTCCTGCTGAGCCACCTGTTTGGCTTCTACCACTTCTGTGAACTCCTTCCCAAAAGTCAGATGTGTCAAGGACACATCGTCCAGGATGAGCCCAAAGGTGGCTGCTCGCTCCGTAAGGTCGTCGCTCACCTGCCTGGAGACCAGCTCTCTCTGGGTGATTAGTTCTCCAGCATCAAAGCAAGCCACCACTGACTTGAGGATCTCGGTCGTGATGGACGGCAGCACACGCTCATCATGGTCCTCTCCGATGCTGGTGAAGATGCGAGGCAGCTGGCTAGCAACGGGCCGGAAGAGGATGAGCCGTGTGATGTTGACATTCTGTAAATCTTTGCTACCAGTGATGACCGGCACATTACGTGGCCGAGAACGGCAGTCAAAGATAACTGGTTTCTGTACCCATGGGATGAGAAAGTGAGTCCCTTCCCCTACCACAATGTCCTGTACTCCATGGAATCAGTCAAAGATGACAGCTCTGTGCCCAGCATCCACATTATATAAGGCCGAGTTCACCACGCCTCCTGCAACAGCTAAGGCCAGGTCAAACTTGCCGATGGACTCAAACACTTTGGCAGCCTTGTTTTCTTCTGCTGGACCTTCACACCTGCTTCCACTCTGACCTCCACATGAATTCCCCCTTTCTTTTTTTTTTTTGAGACAAGGTCTCACACTGTCACCCAGGCTGGAATGCAGAGGCTTAATCACAGTCCACTACAGCTTCAAATTCCTGGGCTCAAATGATCCTACTGCCTCAGCCTCCCAAGTAGCTGGGACTACAGGCCTGAGCCACCATGCCTGGCTACTTATTTATTTATTTATTTTTTAAAGAGATGGGGTTTTACTATGCTTCCCAGGCTGATCTTGAACTCCTGGCCTCAAGCAATCCTCCCACCTCAGCCTCCCAAAGTGTTGTGATTACCGATGTGAGCCACCACATACCCAGTTGTTTTTTGTTTTTTGTTTTTTGAGATGGAGTCTTGCTCTGTTGCCAGGCTGGAATGCAGTGACTCACTGCAACCTCCACCTCCTGGGTTCAAGCGATTCTCTACCTCAGCCTCCTGAGTAGCTGGGACTACAGGCGCCTGCCACCACGTCTGGCAATTTTTTTTTTTTTTTTTTTTGTATATTTAGTAGAGATGGGGTTCCACCGTGTTGGCCAGGCTGGTCTCCAACTCCTGACTTCAGGTGATCCGCCCACCTTGGCCTCCCAAAGCGCTGGGATTATGGGTGTCAGCCACCGCACCCAGCCTACTGCTTTTTTTAAAATTCTTTCTTGCACCTGTCCCCTTTTCTCCATCCATCGCTACTTCTTCAGTTGAGACCTCACAAATCTCACCTGGATCACTGCAAGACATTAAACTTGATAACCTGATTACTAGTTCCCACTTTAGAATAAGTGACCAGCGAAGACCTAAGAAAATAACATTTGAGCTAAATTTAAGAAGAAACCACCTACATAAGGACCTAGTGGGGAGAAGAGGTGTTACGAGAAGGAACAGTAAGTACAAAAGTCTTGTGGCTAGAATAATACTCTACTGGCAAGCCAGAAGAATAGAGAGAACAGAATAACTCAATTATAAAAGGGGCGGTGGGAGAGAAAGGAGAGGACTAGGAGATGAAGCTGAAGAATTAAGCAGAGACCAGATCAAGTAGTGCCTTGCTCTGGCCATTAAAACAGTATGAATTTGCCGGGCGTGGTGGCTCACGCCTGTAATCCAAGCACTTTGGAGGCCAAGGCTGGCGGATCACCTGAGGTCGGGAGTTCAAGACCAGCCTGACCAACATGGTGAAAACCCGTCTTTATTTAAAAAAACAAAAAAACAAAAACAGTATGGATTTTAGTCTAAGTGTGCTCAAGCACCACTTTTTTTTTTGATGGGGTCTCGGTCTGTGACCCACGCTGGAGTGCAGCGGCATGATCTCAGCTCACTGCAACCACCACCTCCTGAGTTTAAGCGATTCTCCTGCCTCAGCTTCCTGAGCAGCTGGGATTACAGCACCCATCACCACGCCTGGCTAATTTTTATATTTTTTAAAAAGTAGAGATGGGGTTTCACCATGTTGGCCAGTCTGGTCTGGAACTTCTGACCTCAGGTGATCAACCTGCCTCTGCCTCCCAAAGTGCTGGGATTATTATATTATTATTTTTTTAAAAAATAAGCAGAGGAGTGGCACAATCTAATGTCTGCTCTTAGAAGATGGGATAGCTGCTATGTGGAAAATTATTTGTAGAGGGTGTGGGAAAAACAGAGGCAAGAAGAGCAGGCTTCGCCAGGTGTGGTGGCTCAGCCTGTAACCCCAGCACTTTGGGAGTCCGAGGCGGGAGGATCACAAGGTCAAGAGATCGAGACCATCCTGGCCAACATGGTGAAATCCCGTCTCTACTAAAATATAAAAAAAAATTAGCTGGGCGTGGTGGCGCACTCCTGTAGTCCTAGCTACTGGAGAGGCTGAGGCAGGAGAATTGCTTGAACCCAGGAGGCGGAGGTTGCAGTGAGCCGAGATCGCGCCACTGCACTGCAGCCTGGCGCCTGGCAACAGAGCGAGACTCTGTCTCAAAAACAAACAAACAAACAAACAAACAAACAAACAAACAAAAAGCAGTCTCAAGGTTATTACAACAGCCCTAGGCAGGAGCAGGTACCGTGAATTACCACGGCAGCGGAAACGGAGAGAAGTGAATGGATTTAGGATCTATTTTGGCACTGGAATGGCAAGGCTTGCTGCTGGAATAGACGTGGGGATGTAGAAAAGGGGAGTCACAGGTAATCCCTAGAGTTCCTGTACTGCAACTGGAGTAAATCACCCCTCTGAGGGCAGCTAAGGAACAGGCTGAGACAGAGGGTTGTGTGTTTTTTTGCACCAAAAGACCTATTTTGGACACATGAAAAGACGCTATTATCTCTTCTAGAGGTGATGCCCGTGAGCAGCTGGATAATCAAATCTGGAGCATTTCAGTCTCAAATACCTCCTCAGAATGGTCCAAGGAGATCTCTGCAGCCACGGTTACATTTTCTTTATCCGAAGCGATGGCACAGCTCACTGACTGCCATTCATCCACGTGCTGGAAAAGCAAGGTCTAGTTAACATCATTCCTTTTCGTGCGGAAAGCCTGAATGTTTAACACTCAGGACACAGAGCAGCGTAAGGTCCCAGAATACAGGGTGTCAGCAATTTCAGCGCTCCCCTCGGCCCAACCAAAGCTCCAGCGGGGCCAGACGAGACCCAGAAGCTAGGGAGGGCCTGGAAGCCGCCGGCACTGGCCGGCAGGGGAAACCCTGGAAAAAGTCTCCCGGCCTCTCATGTGACCGCTTCAGGCCCTCCGCCCTCCCCTGACCTCTCGGGACGGCCGCGCTTACCTGAACCGGACTGTACCCACAAGCGCGCTCCTGACTCGGGGTGCACACCGTGGAGGCCTGAAACGAGAACCATAGTCAGGACCCGCTGAACAAACGGAGCCGCCATACTTTTCTGCCCGAGGGCCCGGGCGAGGTGCGCATGCGCAGGGCGGGGAGCTAGGACCCCGCGGCCGGCGGGCGCGTCCACGTCGAGCGGAAGTCTCGCGGTGTTTGCCTTTGAACGTCTTGGCGGGCCCCGGCCATGGCGGCTTCGCTCCCGGGAACTGGGAGCCGGCTTTTCCGCACTTACGGGGCTGCGGGCGGCAGGAGACAGCGGCGGCGGGGCCGGGCAGCCGCGCCGTGGTTCCCGCCGCAGGAGCGGAGGCGTTTCTTCGACAGCAGCGGCAGCAATGAGGCCAGCTTCGGCTGCCCCTCGCAGTCCGACGATCCTGACGATCCCGACGACCCCGACTTCCCGGGCAGCCCGGTGGCGCGGCGGCGGAGGCGTCCCGGTGGCCGAGTCCCCAAGGACCCGCCCAGCCTGACCGTGACCCCAAAGCGCCGGAAGCTGCGAGCTCCGCCGAGCCTAACCGTGACCCCGAGACGCCTGGGGCTGCGAGCTCGGCCCCCGCAGAAGTGCAGCACCCCCTGCGGCCCGCTCCGGCTTCCGCCCTTCCCCAGCCGCCACCCCGGCGGCCTCAGCCCGGACCTCAGCGTGTGCGAACAGCCCAGGGACGGCGACGAGCTGGGCACCAGCGCCTCCCTGTTCAGCTCTCTCGCTTCGCCCCGCCTCGGGTCCCCAACGCCAAGGGACAGTGTCATCTCCATCGGCACCTCCACCTCTCCGGTTGTAGCGTCTGCCGTCCTGAGCGGCCTCCACCTCCCAGAAGTCTCCTTGGACCGAGCATCTCTCCCCTGCTCCCAGGAGGAAGCGACAGGAGGAGCCAGGATTGTCCGCCAGACCCGTGCCAGCCTCAGGTCAGCTCTCTTTGGCCTTAGGAACTCAGGAACTCCTGAGGATTCTGAGTTTGGGGCAGTTGGGAAGAATATGAGGGGGTCCTGCCGTAAAAGGAAACTGTTGGGAAATAGACCAGAGGGTTCCGGTGTGCCAAGCACAGGCAGGAGGAGGGCCACAGGCCAGGATTCTTGTCCAGAGAGAGGGCTTCAGGAGGCTGTGCGGATAGAACATCTAGAGGCCAGGGTTTGCAACGGCTGCATTGTGCCCGGAGGACCCGACAGGCCTGAGAGAAGTCGACCAAGGCGGAAGCGCAAACGTCAGGAGGCAGTGGAAACCTCTCTTCTCCATTCCCACCACTTTAAAAAGGGCCAAAAGATGAGAAAAGATTCGTTCCCTACCCAGGACCTGACTCATTTACGGAATGCCTGCTCTTGGACCAAAACCAGGGCCTCCTTCAGTTTCCACAAGAAGAAAATTGTGACTGACGTGTCGGAGGTCCGCAGCAGCTACACCACTACCACTTCTCTCTCTGGATCCCTCCTGTCTGAATATTCACACCGTCCTGCCACGAGCAGAACCAGGAGTGCTCTGTCCTCCTGGCGCTCCTCTTCTATGTATTTGCTAAGCCCCTTAAACACTCCTTCAAACAAAAAGGCATCTGATGCTGAGAAGGTTTATGGGGAATGCGGTCAGAAGGGTCCCATCCCCTTTAGCCACTGCCTTCCCACAGAAAAACTGGAACACTGTGAGAAAATTGGGGAAGGGGTGTTTGGCGAAGTGTTTCAGACAATTGCCGATCACACGCCTGTCGCCATAAAAGTCATTGCTATTGAAGGACCGGATTTAGTCAATGGATCCCAGCAGAAAACCTTTGAGGAAATCCTGCCAGAGATCATCATCTCCAAAGAGTTGAGCCTCTTGTCTGGTGACGCGTGCAACCGCACGGAGGGCTTTATTGGACTGAACTCGGTGCACTGTGTGCAGGGATCTTACCCTCCATTGCTCCTCAAAGCCTGGGATGACTATCATTCAACCAAAGGGTCTGCAAATGACCGGCCTGATTTTTTTAAAGAAGACCAGCTCTTCATTGTGCTGGAATTTGAGTTTGGAGGGACTGACTTAGAGCAAATGAGAAGGAAGTTGTCATCCTTGGCGACTGCGAAGAGCATCTTACACCAGCTCACAGCCTCCCTCGCGGTGGCAGAGGCATCACTGCACTTTGAGCATCGAGACTTACATTGGGGGAACGTGCTCTTGAAGAAAACCAGCCTGAAAGAACTCTCGTACACCCTCAATGGCAAGACAGGCACCATCCCCACCCGCGGGCTGCAAGTCAGCATCATCGACTACACCCTGTCGCGCTTGGAACGGGATGGGATCGTGGTTTTCTGTGACGTTTCCATGGATGAGGACCTGTTTGCAGGTGAAGGTGACTACCAGTTTGAGATCTACAGGCTCATGAAGGAGGAGAACCACAACTGCTGGGGTGAATATCACCCTTACAGTAACGTGCTCTGGCTGCATTACCTTACAGATAAGCTTCTGAAACACATGACCTTCAAGACTAAGCACAACACTCCTGCCATGAAGGAAGTAAAGAAAAAGATCAAGGATTTCCATAACACAATGCTGAGCTTCAGCTCTGCCACTGATCTGCTCTGCCAGCACAGTTTATTTCAGTAAACTCAGTGCGTCTGACTGTCCCCAAGTGAGAGGAGGCTGGTCTTGAAGCCTCTGGTGCTGTTTCAGCCTCCATCCCCAGAGCCGGGTGGAATCCCATTCTCACAAGATTCCAGTCAACTTTTCAAACAAGAATTTTGTTTCCAAATAGAAACTGACCTATTTGTTGAATTGTATAAATTTGCTGATAACACATGTCCTTGAAAAAGTAAACTAGCTGGGTGCAGTGGCATGCGCCTGTAGTCCCAGCTACTCAGGAGGCTGAGGCAGGAGGATCACTTGAGCCTAGGAGTTCAAATCTAGCCTGGTCAACAGAGCAACACCCCTGTCTCTGTTTTTAAAAAATAAATAAACTACATATGAAAACAAATGTTTCTAAGTAGCCCTCTTTCTAATTGTCAGCAGAGTCTGTTCTGTACACATTCCTTTCCATTTTTTGAGCCTTGACACTTCATGTAGTCTGAGCAAAAAAAAAAAAAAAAAAAATCGCCCCGGCCTCAGCTGTCATACCGAGCGGAACCTGCTGCTTCAGGTATCAAGGCTCACTTTGGAAACCAGGCTACAGATGACACAACTGAAAACAAAGAGGCTGAGGCAACGCAGAGGCCAAAAAAGAGACTCGGGGAGAAGGAGGGAAGATAGTAAGCAACTTAAAGGGGGCAGTGTAGGAAGTGTTGCATGTTATATCAGTCCCACAGAGAAGCAGAATTTATCAGTTTTCAAAGGGAAAGGGTCTCTGCCTACTGACAAGGTTTTAACTTTTGCTTATTTTTCATCAAAAGGAAGACAAGTGACTGGTTGCTTTAAGAGCTGAGTGATTGGTCCTTCTGAGCAGGACTTTGGTAATTGACTCCTCATCTTCTCCCAGGGTGAAGCTGTCTTCACTCCTTTTAGAGAACTCTGGTTTGTACACGTGACGGTCTACAGTCACTCTGGGAGGAGATGTGATGGTGATAAAAGAACTGCCTTTAAATACCTGAGTCTTCGTCAGGTTCTTCACCGTTACAATCTGGAGACCTCGAAATTTGGTTGGGACACAAATCTGCAACTGGTATTCCGCTCCAAAGAGGTTTTCCCCATGTATCTGCAAATTAAAATCAGAGTAGGAAGTCAAAGCTGGTGTTGCTTTGCCACCTATAGCTTTGCAATAATAAGTACTTACATGGAAGAGGAATTCTTTGTGGTCAGAAAGCCCCGGGCCTGTGTTCACGTACATTACTGATGGTCTGCAATTGAGAGGACGTGTGTCAGGCCTTGAGGACCCTCCCTCCCTTTTTTTGGAGACAGGGTCTCACTCTCGCCCAGGCTAGAGCGCAGTGGCACAATCATGGTTCAGTGTAGCCTCAACCTCCAGGGCTCTAGCCAGCCTCCACCTCGGCCTCCCAAAGTGCTGGGATTACAGGCATGAGCCACCGCACCCATCCTCCTTTCTCTTTTTGAATGAACTTGAATGCTTTCAACTGGGTACACTAGGAGAGAGGGCACCAGACCCTTATGAGGAATGAGGCTGGGCACAGTGTGTCATGCCTGTCATCCCAGCACCTTGGGAGGCCAAGGTGGGCAGATCATCTGAAGTCAGGAGTTTGAGACCAGCCTGGCCAACATAAGCCCTGTCTCTGCTTAAAAAAAAAAAAAAAAAGAGCCAGGCATGGTGGTGTCCACCTGCAGTCCCAGCTATTTGGGAGGCTGAGGCAGGAGAATTGCTTGGGCTCAGGCAGCAGAGGTTGCAGTGAGCCAAGATCGTGCCACTGCACTCCGGCCTGGGCAACAGAGTGAGACTCCGTCTCAAAAATAAATAAATCATTAAAATTTAAAAAATAAAAATAAGTTAGCCAGGCGTAACATCTGCCTGTAGTCCCAGCTACTCGAGAGGCTAAGGCAGGAGAATCACTTGAACCCAGGCGGCAGAGGTTGCAGTGAGCCGAAATCACACCACTGCACTCCAGCCTGGGCGACAGAGTGAGACTCTGTCTCAATTAAAAAACAAACAGAACAAAAAACAAAGGAATAAAAGCTGAAGTCAAAATGTTGAGTGGTTGCAGCACAGCTGGGATGAGTTGGAATATTTAGACTCTATAGTTGGGCTGGTTCATTTTCTAGTCAATGCCCTCAAATGGCCTTACTCATCCCCCACTTACTCCCTTGTCCCATGCTGCCCTCCCTAGCATCATATTCCCTTTCGTAGCAAGACTCGTTGGCACCACGCCTCCTTTGATAACCACAATGATCATCAAAGGGAACTAACCAGCTGTTAGTTCCCTAGAGAGCAATATCAGAGCCGGGGTCCTAAGCAGGCTCCTCTCAGAAGGACAATGCCCACATCCATCCCAACCACCAGCTCCATCTACAAGAGAGAAAGCCCCAAGCTGTCCCCTGGGCCGTGCAGTCTCACTGGTGCTGGCCCCTTGGTAGTACTTACTTGGAAAGCGCTGCGACAAAGCCGTGCCTGAATTGAAGGGTGTGGGTCTGTCTGGCCAAAGACCGCCTTTCATTGGAACTAGGAATAAGAGTGTTAGTTCTCAGCACACCTGCTTTGTACATAACAAGCGCTTTTTTTTTTTTTTTTTTTTTTTTGAGACGGAGTTTCACTCTTGTTACCCAGGCTGGAGTGCAATGGCTCGATCTCAGGCTCACTGCAACCTCCGCCTCCTGGGTTCAAGCAATTCTCCTGCCTCAGCCTCCCGAGTAGCTGGGATTACAGGCATGCGCCACCATGCCCAGCTAATTTTTGTATTTTTAGTAGAGACGGGGTTTCACCACGTTCACCAGGATGGTCTCGATCTCTTGACCTCGTGATCCACCTGCCTCGGCCTCCCAAAGTGCTGGGATTATAGGCGTGAGCCACCGCGCCTGGCCAGCAAGCGCTTCTTAAAAAGGGTCTTGCAACTGGGCAAGGTGGCTCATGCCTGTAATCCCAGCACTTTGGGAGGCTGAGGCAGGTGGACCACCTGAGATCAGGAGTTCGAGACCAGCCATGGCCAGCATGGTGAAAACCCATCTCTACTAAAACTACAAAAAATTAGCTTGGTATGGTGGCAGGTGCCTGTAATCCCAACTACTCGGGAGGCTGAGGCAGGAGAACCAGTTGAACCTGGGAGGCAGAGGTTGCAGTGAGCCGAGTTCTCACCACTGCACTCTAGCCTGGGTGACGAGTGAAACTCCATCTCGAAAAAAAAAAAAAGGGGGGTGTCTTACTCTGTCACCCAGGCTGGAGTGCCTTGGTGCAATCTTGGGTCACTGCAACCTCCACCCCCAGGGTTCAAGCAATTCTCGTGCCTTAGCCTCCTGAGTAGCTGGAATTACAGGTGTGTGCCATCATGCCGGGTTAATTTTTCTATTTTTAGTAGAGACAGGGTTTTGCCATGTTGGCCAGGCTGGTCTCAAACTCCTGACCTCAAGTGATCTGCCTGCCTTGGCCTCCCAAAGTGCTGGGATTACAGGTGTGAGCCGCTGCATCTGGCTTTTGTGTTTTTTTTTTAAGTGCTGGGGTACATGTGCAGGATGTGCAGGTTTGTTACACAGGTGAACATGTGCCATAGCGGTTTGCTGCACCTGTCAACCCATCACCTAGGTATTAAGCCCAGCACGCATTAGCTATTCTTCCTGATGCTGTCCTCCCCCCGCCCCTCCCACAGGCCCCAGTGTGGTGTTCCCCTCCCTGTGTCCATGTTCTCACTGCACAGCAGGGGCTTCTGCACCTGGCCCCCCAGGGTCACTGGGGTCAGATAAGAAAAGGCTGTCAGAGGTAAGCAGCTGGAGTACAGGATTGTCTCTAGAAGACCATACTTAGAGAAATGTTGCTTTTAGAAGGGCTTCTCAACCTCCGCACTAGTGATATTTTGCGCCAGTTAGATCTTGGTTGTGGGGGCTGCCTGTACGACTCTGTGGCGTTTAGCAGTATTCCTGGCGTCTCCCCACCAGATGTGTTACTGAACACCCCCCTCCCCAAGTCATGGCAATCAAATTGGCGCAGCCTCTCTGGTGGGCAAAACCACCTCCATCTGAGAACTTCCCCACAGCGCACCCCACCTTACCCCCAAACACAGAGGTTTCAGGTAACAGAGCTATTCAAGCTATTCCAAAGCTCAGTGAACCAGAACCAGAACTCCAAGGCTCAGTCCACCAGACTAGCTCGCAGTTTTACTGTGTGTGTGAGTAGTAGAACATTTTCATGATCTCTGGTAAGAGAAAGCGGAGTCCCTGCAGGGAAGCAGATGCCTTCTGTGGGCTCCCTGCTTCCTGGGCAGTAAGGGGGCCAGAGCCCTCACAGCTTGCATGTGTAGGGAGAGGTCTTCCGGGGCCATAGCCTGACTGTGCGACCGAGGCAGTACTCACTTGGTGACGGTCACAGTGATGTCTGCTGTCCTGTTTGGAAAGGCATTCTCCTCTAGCTGCCAAACTACCGACACATGAGCCTATTTTAAAGGGGAAAAAATGGTCACTTGATTCTTCTCTAAACCACTCACAATTCAGACTGCTCGCTCCCAAGGGAGCAGACCTGGGAAGTGATTCCTCCCGTTCTCACATTCCTCACGGTTTGTAGCACTGCGTGTCTCCATGGCTGGTATTTCCTTTAAGCCTCAAGTACAATACAAATATGGAGGGCAGGCAGTTCATCCCCTTTTACAGCTGAAGAAGCCACTTCAGAGATTCCCACAGCACAGAGATGACCAGTGACAGCTCAGGATTAATAACCTTTGGTCTTGGCTGGGCGCAGTGGCTCACGCCTGTAATCCCAGCACCTTGGGAGGTGGAGCCAGGCGGATCACTTGAGGTCAGGAGTTTGGGACCAGCCTGGCCAACATGGTGAAACCCCATCTCTACCAAAAATATTTTAAAAATTAGTCAGGTGTAGCGCCCGTCTGTAAAACTATCACTTTGGGAGGCCGAGGCAGGTGGATCACCTGCAGTTGGGAGTTCGAGACCAGCCTGGGCAACATGGTGAAATCCCCATCTCTACTAGAAATACTTGAAAAATTAGCCAGTTGTAGTGGCACACACCTGTAATCTCAGCTACTCGGGAGGCTGAGGCAGGAGAATCACTAGAACCTGGGAGGCAGAGGTGGCAGTGAGCCAAGATTGCGCCACCACACTCCAGCCTGGGTGACAGAGCAAGACTCTGTCTCAAAAACAAACAAAAAACTTTTGGTCTGACGCGCCCTCCATACTAGCCACAACTTCACTCGACCTCACCAAGGTGCGCCAGCAGCCCATCCAGGGCTGTCTACTGGAAACTCTGGTCCCCACCACTCCCTGCTCTCAGAGCCAGCTTCGCCATGGTAGGCACTGCGGAGACCTGACTGCACAGTCAAGGGAAGCCTAAAGCTGCAACCAGGAGATTCAGATAAGCCTGAGACACAGAAGATGCCCAGGGCGGCGGGAAGAGCAAACAGATCCAAACCGACTCACAGACGACCTCTTGAGGACGGGATGACCAATCTTGCAGCTCATGACCAGGACAGAAGCCACCGGCTGAGGGTCATCACACTGAATATTTGGAGAGGGAGGCTGTTGACAGAGCAGATAGCATTCACTTAAAGAATCCCCACCCCCACCAAAAAAAAAAAAAAAAAGGCAGTTGCCACACACCAATTCAACAAACATTCACTCATTTTTCTGCCTGCCAGACACCCTGCCAGGAGCTGAGGGTATCAAGTCTGCTTGGTCCCCATCTTCCTCACAAGCTGGACAGGCCGGCTTAGCAGTAGATCCTGGAGGAATTTAAATAAGGCCTCGGGGTGCTTCTGTGAGGGAGGTGCAGGAAACAGCGGCGGAGGAAGACCAGTTCCAGCTAGGAGGAATTTGTAAGGTCTTCCTGGGGAAGGAGACGTTGGAGCTTAGCCTTGGACTGATGCAGACATAACCCACAGCCTGGCTAGGAGGCCGGCACGCGGCAAGCACTGCCCACCTGGACCCCTGAGGGCAGGTGATGACTGCAGTGACTTCTTCATTCTCCCGAGGATGATCCAGCCTAGTTCCCTTCTTGATGCCTAGAAGACTCCTTTCCTCCATCCCCTTTCCCCTTTTCCTCTCCTCTCCTCTTTCCTTTTCTTTAGATGGAGTTTCGCTCTTTCACCGAGGCTGGAGTGAAGTGGCGTAATCTCAGCTCCCTACAACCTTCGCCCCCCACCCCTCCAGGTTCAAGAGATTCCCCTGCCTCAGTCTCCCGAGTAGCTGGGATTATAGGCACCGGCCACCACACCTGGCTAATTTTTGTATTTGTAGTAGAGACGGGGTTTCACCACGTTGGCCAGGCTGGTCTCGAACTCCTCCCAAAGTGCTAGGATTACAGGCATATGCCACAGTGCCCGGCCTAGGAGATTATTTCATTCATATAATGGATACTGTTCAAGCCCAAATAGCCTCAGATGAGGGCGCACAAACTACAGTCCAACAATGTCAGGTTTGTTGACTCATTGCAATGAAGAAAACTACACTTTTGTGTGTATGTGTGAGACTGAGTCTTGCTCTGTGGCCCAGGCTGGAGTGCAGTGGCGTGATTTTGGCTCACTGGAGCATCTACCTCCCGGGTTCAAGCAATTCTCCCTCCTCAGCCTCCCTCGTAGCTGGGATTACGGGTTCCCACCACCACACCTGGCTAATTTTTGTATTTTTAGTAGAGACAAAGTTCATCATGTTGGCCAGGCTGGTCTCGAACTCCTGACCTCAGGTGGTCTGCCCACCTCAGCCTCCCAAAGTGCTGGGATTTCAGGTGTGAGCCACTGCACCCAGCTGAAAACTACACTGTTGTGTGTCTCAGCAAAGGAAAAGACAGTTATTAAAGGACTCTAGGGAAGGGTGGAGTTCAGATGAAATGTAAATAAAGTTATGTTTTGGGCCAAGTGGGGTGGCTCACACCTGTAATCCCAGCACTTTGGGAGGCCAAGGTGGGTGGATCACCTGAGGTCAGGAGTTCGAGACCAGCCTGGCCAACATGGCAAAACCCCGTCTCTACTAAAAATACAAAAAATTAACCAGGTGTGGTGGTGGACCCCTGCAATCTCAGCTACTCAGGAGGCTGAGGCAGCCTCCACCTCCTGGGTTCGAGACCATCCTGGCCAACATGGTGAAACCTCGTCTCTACTAAAAATATAAAAATTAGCTGGGCGTGGTGATGCGCACCTGTAGTCTCAGCATTGCTGAAAGATCCTTTATTTCAGTGCTAAAGTTCTTTGCGGCACAGAGCATCTATTTCCAACTAATTTTTACTTTCTCAATGTCTTGGGGCATTTCAGCCCACTTACCACTCAGAACCCAGGTGAAGAAAGGCTACATGTAGGGAGGTTGACAGGGCAGCAAATGGTGCCACAGAAGGTTTTGAAGGTAGAGAATGGAGCCAAGCATGTAGCCAGACTGGCGGGAATTTATCTAGTGATTAACCATTGGTTGGATGGACCAGGAGGAGGCTGGCGGCAGGGTCGCCAGTGAGGGGTTTCCACGGAAAAGCAGGCATGCAGCGAGGGAGGGTCGTGAGGTGCCTGTTTCCACACACTCACCTTTTGCATCCTCTTAAACTGCAGGTTTCTGGGATAATTCAAGGCCATGCTTGTCATGTAGGAATCTTCCCCAGAGTTAGTTAGGGTAATGTTCAGGGTCAGCTCCTTTGTGAGACCCACCACCAAATTCTGCCTGCAATGTTACAGATAAAAATGTTACAGTTTATTTAATCTGTAAAAATGTTGATGCAATAAAATAGTACTTTTTTTTTTTTTTGAGGCGGAGTTTCGCTCTTGTTACCCAGGCTGGAGTGCAATGGCGCGATCTCGGCTCACCGCAACCTCCGCCTCCTGGGTTCAGGCAATTCTGCTTCAGCCTCCAGAGTAGCTGGGATGACAGGCATGCACCACCATGCCCAGCTAATTTTTAGTATTTTTAGTAGAGACGGTGTTTCACCATGTTGACCAGGATGGTCTCGATCTCTTGACCTCGTGATCCACCCACCTAAGCCTCCCAAAGTGCTGGGATTACAGGCGTGAGCCACCGCGCCCGGCCTTGACTTTTTTGTTTTTGAGACAGAGTCTCAGTCTGTCACCTAGGCTAGAGTATGGGTGCAGTGGCACAGCAATCATGACTCACTGCAGCCTCCACTTCCTAGGCTCAAGTGGTCCTCCCCACTCAACCTCCTAAGTAGGTGGGACTACAGGTGTGTGCCACCATGCCTAGCTACTTGTTGTATTTTTTGTAGAGACAGGGTCTTGCCATGTGGTCCAGACAGGTCTCGAACTCCTGGGCTCAAGTGATCCACCTGCCTTGGCCTCCCACAGTGCTGGGATTACAGGCATAAGCCACCAAAGACAGCCCAGAATAGTACCTTCTTAACTAGCTTCTTAGGTAAGCTGCCTAAGGAATAGAGTTAGCCTAGACATGCTTCCTCTCGATGTAACCAACAGCTGGACTGCCACACCCATCTCAGTTGCTGCACGAGAGGACGATAGTAGCTGCCATGTATTTTGTGTTTACCACATGCCAAGGACCGCACTTCACATGCTCAACCCTCACCGTACCCCCGTGAAATAGTATGGCTACTCTCCATTTTACAGAATAGGAAACAGAAGCCAAGACAGGCTAATTAAATGCCTCAAGTCCAGCAGCTTCCAAAGAGTTGAGAAAATTGTGCCCAATCAAGACTCGGGGAACTGTGTTCTTCCCCATATACGGCAACTCCGGCCAGCAGGCCATCAGAATCACGAGGCAGACACAGGATTAGTCGCCAGAGAGGACTTTTTTTGTTTCTTTTGTTTTGCGTTTCCTTGATACGGAGTCTTGCACGCGAGCCCAGGCTGGCGTGCAGTGGTGTGATCTTGGCTAACTGCAATCTCCACCTCCTGGGTTCAAGCAGTTCTCTGCCTCAGCCTCCCAAGTAGCTGGCATTACAGGCGCCTACCACAACGCCCAGCTAATTTTTACATTTTTAGTGGAGATGGGGTTTCACCATCTTGGCCAGGCTGGTCTCAAACTCCTGACCTCGTGATCCACCCGCCTCGGCCTCCCAAAGTGCTGTGATTACAGGCGTGAGCCACCACGCCCCGCCCCCCCAATCCTCTTTCTCCCAGCAAGTCACTATGACCCCAGATGAGGTACTCTACGACACAAATTCATCCATGCCACAAATACTTATGGGGCACTGCTTGGCACCAGAGACGAGTGTGCACAAGACATACCGTCCCACCTCCTTTCTCGGTCTCAGTTTCCTACCCACAAAATCATTCAGATTCATTCAGACCCTTCCAATTAAAAGGCAGTGGTTTAAGACACGAGTCCACGCGGCCTGAAAAAGAGGGAGCTGGGGTATGTGAACGCCTCCTCCGGGACACTGAGGTGTCACGGGGCCCCAGAACGCAGAAGCGCTCTCAGTAGTTGAGATTTACAGAAAAACATATTAGCAACACCCAGAAAACTTGTCCACCTGAATTGTCCAAAGATGAAATGTGCAGACCTCGGAGGCAATGCGACGTGTGTTTTGTTCTCATTGTTTGGTTTTGGTTTGATTTTTTATCCCAGCCAAGAAGAGGACTGATTAACTGGAGGGAGAGACGGGAAGCAGAGACAGTTAGAGCCTGCTGTCTCCACCAGAGGATGATACACACCTGAAATAAGACAACAGTAGGGGATGGCCGGGCGCGGTGGCACACACCTGTAATCCAGGCACTTTGGAAGGAGAGGCAGATGGATCACTAGAGGCCAGGAGTTCGAGACCAGCCTGGCCAACATGGTGAAACCCCGCCTCTACTAAAAATACAAAATTTCGCCAGGTGTTGTGGCATGCGCCTGTGATCCCAGCACTTTGGGAAGCTGAGGCAGGTGGATCACTTGAGGCCAGGAGTTTGGCCAAGATGGCGACACCCTGTCTCGACTAAAAATACAAAAATTAGCCGAGCGTGGTGGTGGGCACCTGTAATCCCAGCTACTCTTGAAGTTGAAGCACGAGAATCGCTTGAACTCAGGAGGCGGAGGTTGCAGTGAACCGAGATCATGCCAATGCACTCCTGCCTGGGTAACAGAGTGAGGCCCTGTCTCAAAAAAAAAAAAAAAAAAAAAAAAAGACAGCAGTAGTGGAGATGAAAAGAAGTCAGAGACAGTAAGACAAACAAAATGAAAAAGAGGCAGGGGAGGGGGACAGAGGGGTCAGGGATGAGTTCTGAGTTTCTTTCTTTCTTTCTTTTTTTTTTTTTTTTTTTTTTGAGACAGAGTTTCGCTCTTGTTACCCAGGCTGGAGTGCAACGGCGCAATCTCGGTTCACCGCACCTCTGCCTCCTGGGTTCAGGCAATTCTCCTGCCTCAGCTTCCTGAGTAGCTGGGATTACAGGCAGGCGCCACCATGCCCAGCTAATTTTTAGTATTTTTAGTAGATACGGGGTTTCACTTTGTTGACCAGTATGGTCTTGATCTCTTGACCTCGTGATCCACCCGCCTTGGCCTCCCAAAGTGCTGAGATTACAGGTGTGAGTCACTGCACCCGGCTTTTTTTTTTTTTTTTTTTTTTTTTTTTTTTTTTTTTTTTTTTTTTTGAGACAGAGTTTTACTCTTATTGCCCAGGCTGGAGTGCAATGGTGTGATCTCAGCTCACTGCAACCTCCACCTCCCAGGTTCAAGTGATTCTCCTGCCTCAGCCTCTCCAGTAACTGGGATTACAGGTGTGTGCCACCACGCCTGGCTGATTTTTTGCAGTTTTAGTAGAGATGGAGTTTCACCATGTTAGTCAGGCTGCTCCTGAACTCCCAACCACAGGTGATCCACCTGCCTCAGCCTCCCAAAGTGCTGGGATTACAGGCGTGAGCCACTGTGCCTGGCCGAGTTCTGACTTTCTAGCTCAGATGGCTGAGTGGTGCTGTTACTGATTGAGGGAGGTAACACAGGAGGAAGACCCGAGGACGGAGGAAGATGGAACATGACAAGAGGTGCATGTAGGACAACAAGGCAGAGCTGCTGACATGTCAGCTGGACGCACCGTCCCAGAGCCCAGGCACGAGGCCTGAGTGTTATCGGAATACTTAATAGCGTTGCCGGATCTGAGGCCTAGGGGCCGTTTCAGAGGACCCGGAATGCAAACATTTATGTATGCACATGTGGTCTTCTAAGGAGAGGGGTGCATAGTCTTCATTAGGTTCTCTAGGAGATCCATGTCTTCAGAAAGATCAAAACCACTGAGACAGCTGGAAGCCAATGACCAGGCTGCAGGGATGTTTTTGAAAGAGAAGCGTTTGCTTGCCATGTACCCTAGGGGGCGATGTAGGGCAAGCTGTGTGTGCTGAATCGCTGCTACCCAGTCGCTGGCTGGGAGGTTGGTTCTTGGCTATAATGAATTCCTGGCTGGAAACAGCTGCGCCTGCTTGTTAGGATGGATTCCAGAGCACTTGAAAGTCTTCAATCGGTCCTGCAAATGTCTATGAAAGGGCCCATCAGGACTCGGAGAGCTGCCATCTGCCCCACATATGGCAGCTCCGCCAGGGGGTCATCAGAATCACAATGCAGACACAGCACCTACTCTAGGGAGGGCTTTTTGTTCGTTTTGTTTTGTTTTGTTTTTCCTTGATACAGAGTCTGCCGTTTCCCAGGCTGGAGTGCAGTGGTGTGATCTCAACTCACTGCACCCTCCGCCTCGCAAGTTTGAGCAATTCTTCTGCCTCAGCCTCCCCAGTAGCTGGGATTGGAGGCACGTACCACCATGCCTGGCTAATTTTTTTGTTTTGTTTTTTGTTTGTTTCTTTTGAGACAGAGTTTCGCTCTTGTTACCCAGGCTGGAGTGCAGTGGCGCGATCTCGGCTCACCGCAACCTCTGTCTCCTGGGTTCAAGCAATTCTCCTGCCTCAGCCTCCCGAGTAGCTAGGACTACAGGCGTGCGCCACCATGCACAGCTAATTTTTTTGTCTTTTTAGTAGAGACGGGGTTTCACCATGTTGACCAGGATGGTCTCGATCTCTTGACCTCGTGATCCACTTGTCTCGGCCTTCCAAAGTGCTGGGATTATAGGCGTGAGCCACCATGCCTGGCCAATTTTTGTTTTTTTTGACAGAGACGGGGTTTCACCATGTTAATCAGGCTGGATTCAAACTCCTGATCTCGTGATCCGCCTGCCTCAGCCTCCTAAAGTGCTGGGATTACAGGTGTGAGCCACTGTGTCCAGGCTGGGAGAGCATTTTAGGGCCACCACATGTCTGAACCCAAACTCCTGTGCTTGGCAACACCATCATTCTGGAATTCAGTGTGGTCTAACAGAACGTCTGCAGCGATGAAACAGGTGGCATCCGTGCCACCAGCCACCAGCGGGCACTGAGTATCTGAAGTGTGGCTCCCGTGTTCCCACGAGCTCAGTGTTTCCTTGTGTTTAATTTTAACTCATGTAAGTGCCAACACCCAAGTGTGGCTGGTGTGTTGGACGGCGCAGCGCCGCCGTAGGCTCGGGCTGGGGGCTCCTTCCTCACTCCGCCTCACTCTGTCAGCTCTCGCTTCAAAACATTGTGGGTTCTCGCTTCAAAACGTAAACCCCGTCATTGCTGGGACCTGGGTCCCAGCCCCCATTGCCTCTCACCTGAGTGGTTGCAATGGGAGCAGGCGTGGCCCCTCCTTCCGCCTTTGCTCCCGGTCTCTCCTCAATTCATCAGCAAGAAGGGTCTTGCTGAGCTCCAGGATCACATCACTCCTCCCACTTCACAGCTCACTGGCAAAAAAGCCTTTCTCCCTCCCCGTTTCTCCCCCTCCCTCATAACCCCCGCCTCCCTCCACTGCAGCCCCTGGGTCCTCGCCCTGCTTCCACCTGCCAGGCAGGCTCCCGCCCCAGGGCACCTGCAGCTGCTCTTACCCCAGACACCCACCCACAGAGCTCATTCCCCAACCTCCTCCTGTGTGTGTCCCCCTCCCTGACCACCCCATTGACAACTTCAGCCTCACCCCCACCCAGAACTCCCTCCACCTTCCCTGCTTCTTCAAAGTTCATCTCACCAACACAGAATTGACTTTCTATCTCCTCCCCCTAAGACCACCAGGAGGGCAGGGGCCTTTGTGTTGTTCACAGAAGCATCCCCAGCACCAACAGTGCCTGGCATAGAGCGGACGGTCCAGAAATGTCTGCCCAACTGATGAATGACTTTGGCGGAAGAGGTGCGCCAGGAAACAGGTCACCTCTAACTCAGGTAGAGGTCATCCTAGCCGTGAAGAACACTGGGTAGCATTGTCCAGGATGCCAAGAGACCCAGGTTCAAGGCCACCGGATGGCCCATGCAGGGCCTCAGCGGCTGAGCCTCCTTCCTGATCTAAAAAGTGGGAAGACGGATCTCCGTCTTGCCTCCCTCGTGGGGTAACTGGGGACATAATGAGATAAACGCAGAAGCCGTTTGTGGGCCACGGGAAGCGGGGAAGGGAGTGTGCAGTGCGTCCTGATGGGGGGTTCGCCCAGGCAAGCATTTGGGGGACGTTAACTGCAGGAAACCGAGGGCTGCTCCCAACTCACTGAGAGACGGTGGTGGCCAACTGTAATTCTGCAACACAAAACAGCTTATTCTTGCAGTCCTTTTCATAGGGCAGCTGTAACCAGACAGAGAGAGTCCCGATCAGTGAGGCCCCACCTTCCCCAGCAGCCCTGCCTCTGAATGTTCTCCTTAGGGTGCTTCGGGCTGTGTCTCCTGCTCATCCGGAGATGGGCAGCGACTGGGAGGTGAGGGACGCAGGCTGGGATTGCACGTACACGGCCCGAAAAACAGGGACAGTGACATTCCTGGATCTGTCCTATAACATGGGCACACTGGCCAGGTGCAATGACTCATGCCTGTAATCCAAGCACTTTGGAGGCCAAGGTGGGTGGATCACCTGAGGTCGGGAGTTCAAGACCAGCCTGACCAACATGGTGAAACCCCGTCTTAAAAAAAAAAAAAAAAAAAAAATGGGCACCCTTGGCCTCTGGCCAAGGTCAAAACTAGGGTGACCTGCATGGAATGTGTGATGTGCCCATTATATTCACATCATGGGAATTAAGCAGCACACACAGCTCACGACTTCCAGCATTTGGGGAGCAGACAGCTATGTGAAGAGAAGCTTCCTTAGTCTTTTCGGGTGTAGGCAGAAATGGGGGCTACCTAACCGAATATTGTTAAGGTCCAGGCCTCAGAGTTTCTCTTCCTTGTGGCTAGACATCTCTGGGGTTTGTGTGTGTGTGTTTGTTTGTTTGTTTGAGACGGAGTCTTGCTCTGTTGCCAGGCTGGAGTGCAGTGGCATGATCTCGGCTCACCACAACCTCCACCTCCTGGGTTCAAACGATTCTCCTGACTCAGTCTCCTGAGTAGCTGAAATTAGAGGCACCCGCCACCACGCCCAGCTAATTTTTTTGGTCTTTTTAGTAGAGACGGGGTTTCACCATGTTGACCAAGTTGGTCTCAAACTCCTGACCTCAGTTGATCCACCCGCCTTGGCCTCCCAAATTGCTGGGGTTACAGGTGTGAGCCACGGAGCCCAACTTGGCTAGCTGTCTCTGTAAGCTATTTCCCTTGCAATCTTGCCTCCACATAACCAACTCATTCCAAAAGCCACATTTAAAAGGCCCCCATGGAGGCTGAAAAGCTCCTTTTCACGTTTTAAAAAATTCCAGTTTTCTAAAGTAGCTGGGTCTGTTTTTTGATTATGAAGAAAGGCAGCTCCTCGGCTGGGGGGCCTCTGCGTTTCTCTCCCGGCGGCCACCTCCAGAGCTTTCTGCAGGTCTGTTACCATGGCCTAGGATGGCAATAAGAGCCCCGGAGCCTGAAAGGGGACTTTCTACTTCCTGGGGAAGGGAGGCAGCATTTGCAGAAGTCAAAGCCTGGAGTTCTAGCTAAGTGGGTCAACAGTTTCATGCAGGGTTTTTTATTGTATTTTTAATATAGCAAAGTAGCCTGATATTTTCCACCCAGCCCCAGTGAAAGAGAATGGGGTTAAGCCAGCTAGACGCCCAGCTGGGACACATTCTCTGGTAATAGCGATGTGCCTAACACCACGTGAGTTCTCCTCACCCATTTCACAGATGGAGTAAATTTTAAAAAATCTCTTTGCCGTAGCATAGTAGTCATCTCTGGTTAAGGAAAGACACATAAATAGATGTTAAGCAGAATATCATCTCAAGGCATCTCACCACAAAATGAGATGTGCTTATTAATTACACAGGCAAATCACACTAGAAATGGGACAAATCCACACGAGGTGCCTCCTGAGATGGTGTACTGAGAAGGACACAACTTAACTTCTGTGATATTCCTGCCAAAAATGCGTAACCTGGCCAGGCATGGTGGCTCGTGCCTGTCATCCCATCCAAGGCAGGTGGATCGCCTGAAGTTAGGAGTTCAAGACCAGCCTGGCCAACATGGTGAAACCCTGTCTCTACTAAAAATACAAAAAAATTAGCCGGGCATGGTGACACATACCTGTCATCCCAGCTACTCTGGAGGCCAAGGCAGGAGAATTGCTTGAACCCAGGAACTGGAGGTTGTGGTGAGCTGACATTGCACCATTGCACTCCAGCCTGGGCAGCAAAAGTGAAACTCTGTCTCAAAAACAAAACAAAACGAAATGGGTAAGCTGACTCTATGAAGAAACATCAGACAAATTGAGGAACATTCTATAAAAGGACTGGCCTGCCTACACCCTTCAAAAACATGAATCTCATCAAAAGACAAGGAAACATGAGAAACTCTTCCGGATTAAAGGAAGTAAATGACAACAGAACACGATGAAGGATCCTGGACCAGAACATCTTTTTCTTTTGCTATAAAGGGCATTAATAGGACAAAGGCAAATTTTGAATAAAGTTTGTAGATTAGATAATAGTATTCTATCAATGTGAATTTCCTGATTTTGATTATGGTACTACGTTAAGACAATGCCTTTGTTTTTAGGGAAATATATATTGAAGTTTGTTTGTTTTTGAGAGATGGAGTCTTGCTCTGTCTCCCAGGCTGGAGTGCAGTGGTGCAATCTTGGTTCACTATAACCTCCGCCTCCCAGGTTCAAGCAATTCTCCTGCCTCAGCCTTCTGAGTACCTGGGACTACAGGCTCCTGCCACCACACCTGGCTAATCTTTGTATTTTTAGCAGAGTTGGGGTTTTGCCACGTTGGCCAGGCTGGTCTCGAACTCCTGGCCTCAGGTGATACGCCCACTGCAGCCTCCCAAAGTGCTGGGATTACAGGCATCAGCCACGGCTCCCGGCTGACAAAAGTTTTTTATGATACTACCCGCCTGTCTGAACTGCACTGATGGGCACCAGGAGGAGAGGCAGGGGCACAGGCTTGGTGGGGCCATTCAGCCTGAAGGCCCTGGCAGGGCATGAACAGGGAGGGTGCCAAAGGGCATCCTCTCTGCAGCACAAGACAGAATAGCTCCCATCTAGCTCTCACAAGGGACCCCCACCACTGTGTCATCAGAGCTCCCTGCCAAGTGAGGTCCCAGGATGCAATGTATGCCTGTGCGTCATGAAATATGCAGCAAGCACTTTTGTGAACATAAAGCCACAGCCCCAGAGACAGATGGAGACCTGTGTTACCCACGGGTGACGCCCCCCACACATGAACACCATCACAGGGGCTCAGTTTCAGATTTGTACAGTGAGGTGCCCAAATGCTGTCTGAAGACACTCCCTCCCAGTTCTAACGTTCTCGGAAGTCGTGGGGGCAGTTGCTTTCTGTGGGATCGACTCTCAAGAGGGCTGGTACTGGCTGAGGGTAGAGTCACCTGGAAGATGGCAAAGGCTTCAGTGTAGTGGTCGAGGATGGGCTGGGGACGGTCCCTCTGTCCCTCAGGGGTCTCAAGTTGGTAGCTGACCTTGATGCTGGCATTGGAGAAGGAGTCCTCCTCATGGAGCTGTGAGGTCACCATGGAAGGCAGGGTTAGAAGAAGATGACAGGAAGAATGCTTTTCTTTTCTCTGTTAGAGAAAAGACAGAGACTTGCTCTGTCACCCAGGCTGGAGTGCAGTGGTGTGATCTCAGCTCACTGCAACCTCCGCCTCCTGGGTTCAATCGATTCTCCTGCCTCAGCCGCCCGTGTAGCTGGGATTACAGACGTCCACCACCACGCCCGGCTAATTTTTGTATTTTTAGTAGAGACGGGGTTTCACCATGTTGCCCAGGCTGGTCTCCAACTTCTGATCTCAGGTGATCTGCCCACCTCGGCCTCCCAAAGTGTTGGGATGACAGGCATAAGCCACCACGTCTGGCCCCCCCCTTTTTTTTTTTTCCCCCAGATAAGGTCTCACTCACTCTGTCACCCAGGCTGGAGTGCAGAAGCACCGTCATGGCTCAGTGCAGCCTCAACCACCTAGGCTCAAGCAACACACCCACCTCGGCCCCCCAAAGTGCTGGGATTCCCAACCTAAGCCACCGTGCCTGGCAAGGACACCTTCTACTTTCATGTCATCGTAAGAAGAAACAAACAAGAAAAGTGTTGAGTCAGAAGTCCTAAGCATCTTCCAAATAAGCCAGGCTGAAGGGATGTGTCCTTCCAGCAAGCTGCCTAGGGCTTTGGGAAATCTCCTTCAGTCTAGCTGTGTCTCACAGCTCTTTTTGAAAAAAATTTTTATTACAATTCAAGATGATGTGTCTCATAGCTCTGATGGTTCTCACCCTGGTCACAAAGTGGTAAAGAACTGGCTTAGACAGAGGAGAGGGGTCACGGTCACGCCTGCGTTTATCAAGCTGTTTCTTTTTTTTTTTTTTTTTTTTTTTTTGAGATGGAGTCTCGCTCGGTCGCCCAGGCTACAGTGCAGTGGCTCAGTCTCAGCTCACTGTAACCTCCACCTCCAGAGTTCAAGCAATTCTCCTGCCTCAGCCTTTTCAGTAGCTGGGATTACAGGCGGCACCCCCACGTTCAGCTAATTGTTTTGTTTTTAGTAGAGACGGGGTTTCTACAAGTTGGTCAAGATGGTCTCAAACTCGAGACCTCAGGTGAGCCGCCTGCTTCGGCCTCCCAAAGTGCTGGAATTACAGGCATGAGCCACCGCGCCCGGCCTGTTATTGTTATTATTATTATTTTGAGACAGAGTCTCTGTCCCCCAGGCTGGAGTGCAGTGGCATGATTTCAGCTCACTGCAACCTCTGACCCCTGGGTTCAAGTGATTCTCCTGCCTCAGCCTCCCGAGTAGCTGGGATTACAGGTGCCCACCACCATGCCCAGCTAATTTTTGTGTTTTTAGTGGAGACAAGGTTTCATCACGTTGGCAGGGCTGGTCTTGAACTCCTGACCTCAAGTGATCTGCCCGCCTCGGCCTCCTAAAGCGCTGGGATTACAGGCGGGAGGCACCGAGCCTGGCCTGCTATGATTATTTTAATCACCTCATTTGTAGATCCGGGTATGTGCCCCTCACTGCGTCACCTCAAATCCTTTCTCAATGGCACAGACCCCTCCAGACTCCCATCCAAACTCCTCCGCTTACCTCTCCCTCTGTGCGGTTGAGCTGGAGGAGCTCACAAAGCTGGGACCCGCTGCTCCACTCCCTCAGGCGGCCCCGACAGGCGCTCTCATCTGAACATTGCAGCCTTTTCCTCTGCTTCCCCACATCCACGTCCAGTGTGAAGTTGAGAGATGCCCCTCTGAGGCCTGGGAATGAAGAGCAGGCCTTCCCGATAAGGTGGGGATGAGCCGGCCGCAGACAGAAGGCCCCCAGCCTGAGGTTCCTTGTGACCCTCCTGAACAGTGTCCCCATGCAGGGACTTCCTGGGGCTGGACCCCTGAGTTTCTTTTTTTTTTTTTTTTTTTTGAGATGGAGTCTCATGCTGTTGCCCAGGCCGGAATGCAGTGGCATGATCTCGACTCACTGCAACCTCCGCCTCCCGGGTTCAAGCCATTCTCCCGCCTCAGCCTCCCACGTGGGTGGGACTACAGGTGTGTGCCACCATGCCCGGCTAATTTTTGTAGTTTTTAGTAGAAACGGGGTTTCACTATATTGGACAGGCTGGTCTCGAACTCCTGACCTCGTGATCTGCCCACCTCGGCCTCCCAGAGTGCTGGGATTACAAGCGTGAGCCACCTCACCTGGCCGCATTCTTTTTTCAAAGGTATTTTGCTCACTGTCTTCTGACACCTGGCCAGGGTCTCTCAGTGCTCCAGCCCCAAACCCAGAGCAACACATTCCCAGGACCAAGTCAGCCTTCCTTAGGGAAGGAGGACTCGGGAATGGGGTTGAGACTGAAGAAAACAAGGAGGAAGAGAATCAACAAAGAGAATGGAGGGGGACAGAGGGAAACCATGGAGTCAAACCTAAGGACCACAGTGCTGGAAGCACCATGGAGATCCCTGGACTAAATCCCTCACGGTACAGAACAGAACCAGCTCAGCTGGGGAGAGACCTTGCCCAGCGCCGCACAGCCCATCGAGCTCTGTGTCTGGGAAGGGACAGGTCTGTCGTTTCCACCCCCCAGGTGGATAATAGCCTCCCGCTTTGGTAAAGCTGCCCCGCCACAGGAGCCTGCTCTGTGACCTTTGAGAGGCAGAGAGCCATCTCAGAGACTGCTCCTGAGAGAGCAAACCTCCGGGACTGTGGCTGAGGGATCGTTCCCGAGGGGAGCGCTTGGGTGGGCAGTGAATTCCTGGGCTGTGAAAACCGTGCCCCCCACCTCCTTTCTGGAAACAGTCTCCTGATGAGTTTCAGGTAAGGAAAGAGAAACCCAGCCTCGACAGATTATCCAATCCCACCTGGGCCAGAGGCACAGAGTGAGGAGGGACAGAAGGGACGAGGAGAGGACACAGCCAGAGAGAAGGCGAAGGGCACATCCCTGGAGCTCCCGAGCACAGGCACCCACGCGGGCCTGGAGACATGGCTGCCTTTTTCTGAGTCTTTTTTTCAGAAACTCAACCCTTCAACCCTGAGGAAGGGCTCCAGCATCCCTCCTCCCAAGAGTGTCAGCCCTAAGCCCCTCAGAGTGTGGATGTCACATCAGAACACCCTTTTTATTTTTTTTATTTATTTTTTTGAGACGGAGTTTCGCTCTTGTTACCCAGGCTGGAGTGCAATGGCGCGATCTCGGCTCACCGCAACCTCCGCCTCCCGGGTTCAGGCAATTCTCCTGCCTCAGCCTCCTGAGTAGCTGGGATTACAGGCACACGCCACCATGCCCAGCTAGTTTTTTGTATTTTTAGTGGAGACGGGGTTTCACCATGTTGACCGGGATGGTCTCCATCTCTTGACTTCGTGATCCACCCCCCTCGGCCTCCCAAAGTGCTGGGATTACAGGCGTGAGCCACCGCGCCCGGCCCAGAACACCCTTTTTGAGGCAGTTTGCATGTCACAGAGCCTGGAGACAAAGGAGCTACATTCTAATGGAGGGATTTCAGCATCAGGACCTCAGACAAACACCCCCACCCCGGCCCACCCCCACCCTGTCCTCTTTCCCTGCCCCCTACAGAAGCCAAAAAGGAATGACCATCACGCTGGGATGCGGAGCAGCTGGGCCACCTCTTACCTGACTCAGAGCTGATCGCAAAACATAAATTGACATTCACGTTGCTTTTGAATCCGACCGGCAGCGCACTGGGGGTGAAGGCCATGGACACATTCAGGCGAACCACAGGCCGGGAGCTGACAGCAAAGGGGACGGGAGGAGTGACTGCAGGCTCGTGGGTCAGGCCTGGCTGACTGGTTCATGCAGTCAGTGAGTCCATCAAACCTCCCCATGCGCCAGGGCTGCCCTGAGTTTCTGCTTTCATGGGAAAGCACAACAAGCAAATAAACAGGGAAATACTATGTATTGGCAATGCTCTGATTCAAAATAAAATACCCTCGTCCGGGTGCAGTGGCTGGCGCCTGTAGCCCCAGCACTTTGGGAGGCCGAGGTGGGCGGATCACTTGAGGTCAGGAGTTCGAGACCATCCTGGCCAACATGGTGAAACCCCATCTCTACTAAAAATACAAAAATTAGCCAGGCGTTGTGGCAGGCACCTGTAATCCCAGCTACTCTGGAGGCTGAAGCAGAAGAATTGCTTAAACCCGAGAGGTGGAGGTTGCAGTGAGCTGAGATGGCACCACTGCACTCCAGCCTGGGTGACATGACAAGAGTGAGACTCCATCTCAACAACCAAAGTTCTGTAATAAGGACTGGGGGCTACTGAGCCTGGGTGGTCTGAGATGGCCTGACTGATGGGAAGCATTTCGGTTGAGATTTGTTAACAAGCCAGAACCAGCTATGTGAGGACACGGGGCGGAGCGCTCCAGGTGAAAAGCACAGCCAGCGCCAAAGGCAGGTGGCAGGGATGCTTGCAGTTTGGGGAGCGCCAAGGCCCGCGTGCCTGGAGCCTAATTAGTGAGACAGAGGAGAGGAGGAGGAGGTGGGAATGGAGGACTGGGGAGGGCCAGGCCACGAAGAACCCTGCAAAGCCACGGTAAGGAACTGGGATTTTACTCTAAGTGGGGGTGTGGAGGGGTTTCAGGTGCTGCTGTGTGGAGGGTAGAAGCAGGGAAGGCTGCATGCCAGTGTCCGGGGGTGAGGACAGCACCGGTACTGGTGGGTAGCTGCAGGCAGAGCCAACTAAGACGTGTTGATGTGGTGGTAGGGGAAGGAAAATGAGGCATGAAGGACCAGGTTTTCATCCTGTGTTTCTGGGTGGATGATGGCGCCATTTGCCAAGACAGAAAGCCCAAAGGCGGGACAGATTTGGGGGAATGAAGGGTGGGTGGAGATAACAGCTCCATTTTTGTTTTGTTTTGTTTTGAGACAGAGCCTCACTCTGTCGCCCAGGCTGGAGTGCAATGGTGCGATCTCAAGTCACCGCAACCTCTGCCTCCTGGATTCAAGCGATTCTCCTGCCTCAGCCACCTGAGTAGCTGGGACTACAAGCACCCGCCACAATGCCCAGCTAATTTTTGTATTTTTAGTAGCGACGGGGCTTCACCGTGTTGGCCAGGCTGGTCCCAAACTCCTGACCTCATGATCTGCCCATCTCGGCCTCCCGAAGTGCTGGGATGACAGGCATGAGCCACCTTGCCTGGCCAAGAGCTCCGTTTTTAGATGTGTTCCCTCGGACATGTCCGTGAACAGCAGCTGAGAGGTGCTGAGTAGAGCGCAGCAAGTCTGGAGCTTAGTGGAGAGGAGATGACAGACAGGCACTCCACGAGCTCACTGACAGCCACGGGCTTGATGAGTCACCCCGTGATGGGGCGCAGAAACGCGGGACTTCTTTTTTGTAAATTAATTAATGAATTAATTTTTGAGATGGAGTCTCGCTCTGTCGCCCAGGCTGGAGTGCAGTGGCAGGCTCTTGGCTCACTGCAACCTCCACCTCCCAGGTTCAAGCAATTCTCTGCCTGAGCCTACTGAGTAGCTGGAATTACAGGTGCCCACCACTATGCCTGGCTAATTTTTCTGCATTTTTAGTACAGACGGAGTTTCACCATCTTGACCAGGCTGGTCTTGATCTCCTGACCTCATGATCCACCCACCTCGGCCTCCCAAAGTGCTGAGGTTACAGGTGTGAGCCACCACGCCTGGCCTGAAATTCTTAATAATCAGAGCCATCGCTGAGTGCTGTGCTAAATACTTTACCTATATCCACTTGCATAATCCTCATAACTCTGGGAGGGAGGTGCTCTTATAATTCCCACGTAAGGTCTTAGAATGAAATAGCCTGCCCAGAGCATACCGAAAGGACCTAGAGCTGAGGTTCACACCCAGACGGGCAGAGCCCAGAGCCTGTGCTCTGTTATCAGCTGGGCCAGGTGACTCACCACCATGCCGGCTCCCTCCCTCGGCGTCTACTCTGTGCATGGAGCTATTTACAGTGGGGCAGATGGGTGAGGCTGGGCCCAGGACCCCAGACCCACCAGAACACAACTGCCCGGCCCAGAGTGCCCACGGTGATGTCAGCAAGGCCGTCGCCACTGATATCAAAGCCACCAGCCACGGACATGCCGAAGTACTGGAGTCCTGGGGCCACCAGTGAGGCTCTGATACGCTGTGGAGGCAGAAACACAAGGCATGGGGTGAGGGAAGGGAGGGACACAGGGCGGGGAGTCCTTTCACTTTCTGTCCCGGTCAGCGGTCAGCGTTGCAGGCACCATCCAGCCCCAGGGAGCCCCCAGTCTAGAACCAGGAAAGAGGGGACAAGCTTTCCCAGAGGAAGTGGCATTTGAATGGAGCCTTGAAGGGCAGGTGGGACTTGATGGGAGAGAGGGAGGGAAAGAGTGAGGCATAGGGAAAGTGTGGGGCCCTCTGAGAAGCAACCACGGATGGGGTGGGCTGCAGGGGGCTGCGGTACAAAGAGGCTTGATGTGTGGCTTGGGGTGGGGGTGTCAACAAAGGCTCTGTTTTTTTGAAGTGACGTAATCAGGATAACACTTTAGAAATGGCGCTGAAGGCTGGGCGCGGTGGCTCACTCCTGTAATCCCAGCACTTTGGGAGGCCGAGGCTGGTGGAACCTGAGTCAAGAGATCGAGACCAGCCTGGCCAACGTGGTGAAACCTCGTCTCTACTAAAAATACAAAAATTAGCCGGGTGTGTGGCTGGTGCCTGTAGCCCCAGCTACTCAGGAGGCTGAGGCAGGAGAATCACTTGAACCTGGGAGGTGGAGGTTGCAGTGAGCCGAGATCCTGCCATTGCACTCCAGCTTGGTGACAGAGTGAGACTCCATCTCAAAAAACAAAACTAAATAAAATGGCACTGAAGACACAGGGGACAAGATGCAGAGGAGGGGGAAGCTGGGCGGGCTGGGGGGCCAGGAGAGGGATGGCAAGGCCTAAGCTGGGACCATGGTGGTGGGGATGGAGAGAAGGGGCTGGACTTGGGAGACAGCTGGAATCCTGAGGACGTGGGGACTGACAGGCTGTGTAGGGTGGGGGCATGCTGGGGATCATCTGAGGTTTCCGGTGTGGAGTGTGGAGGGGGATGAGGTCTCAGCAGCAGCAGATCTGGGGAAAGCAGGTGCTTTCAGATGAGAGGAAAATGCCTGGGGGCCATCCAGGTGGAGGCGCTCAGGAGGGGCTAGAGGTGGGTGAAAGAGACGTGGAGTGAGAGGCTGGCAGTGGAGCCCCAGGGCACAAGAGACAAAGCAGGGATGTGCTGCGTGGGAGACAGAAGCAAGGACAGAAGGAGAAGCAGTGACCCAAGCCAGGCTGGAGGGACGGGAGGGTGTAGGTCAGGGAGGGAGACAGCTGCTGTCACAACCTCCCCGCACCTGAGGGGCCGAGGTGAGGCCGTGGGCTGGAACCTCCCGCCATCCTGAGTAACTTCCTTCTTTCACTGGGCACTCCCGGCCCCCGGGGGCCTGCCCGGCACTTGGGACTGAAGCCACCTTGGGGCTTGGGTCATCCTGTCTGGGAGAGGTCAGAGCCCCAGAGGAGAGGAAGGAGAGGGCCCGGTGGGTCACCTGTGAGGGGCTGGCGGAGAGGCCGTCCCTGTGTCCATTGTAGATATACACACTGCCGAAGCTGGCACCATCATCTGCTGCAAAACCCTCCAGGGGGGCCCCGATGGCCACATCTGTGAGCTTATCCTGACTGATATCCCCCACAGTCGCCATGGCAAAGCCAAAGCGGGCACTGGGGAACCCAGGGTGCCCACTCAGCATGCGTGACAGGGAGAAGGAACCATCCTATAAAGCAAGCAAACAGCTCAGCCCTCGAGAAGGGGGGGCACTGGGTGCCCACCCCATTGCCACCCAGGAGGCACGCTCACTGGGCTGGTGGATTCTGATTCTCCAGCAGGGAGCCTGAGGCCCACAAAAGGCCAGGGACCTTCCCAAGGTCACACAGTGAGCCCGTGATGAAAGCTGGAGTCCTCCTGCCTTGAGGTTCAGGACCCAGAGCCTGCTCCCCCTACTCCCACAGGCAGGGGTGCCTTGCTGTAAATGGAGGCCTGGGCTTTACTCTTGAGCACGTCTCAGCATCATTGAGGCTCCCTGAGCCCCAGCTTCCTCACCTGTAAGATGAGAGTGGCAGCTGCCTCCCACAGTTACTGTGAGAAATAAGTGAGATCCTGGACGAAATGTGCTTTGGCAGCTATGCAGCTGCCAAAGAGATGTTATCAGCCAGGCGCCGTGACTCACACCTGTGATCCCCACACTTTGGGAGGCCAAGGCGGGCGGATCACCTGACGTCAGGAGTTCGGGACCAGCCTGGCTAACATGGTGAAACCCCATCTCTGCTAAAAATACAAAAATTAGCCAGGCATGGTGGCACATGCCTATAATCCCAGCTACTCAGGAGGCTGAGGCAGGAAAATTGCTTGAACCTAGGAGGTGGAGGTTGCAGTGAGCCAAGATTGTACCACTGCACTCCAGCCTGAGCAACAGAGTGAGACTCAGTCTCGGAAAAAAAAAAAAAAGAGAGAGATTGTCATCAACGACTGCCCTTGGGTAAGAAAGAGGGAGCTGAGAGCGGTGCCACTGTCCCGCCCAGCAGCCATCCATCCTGAGCACCTCCCTGTCACTGCCCACTGGTGCCAAGCAGGGCCAGGGCACTCCCAGCCTCCATCCTCTCTGTACTGGGCTGAATGCCACAGCCTTAGCTGTGAAGATGGTGGCTCTCCCACCTGCTCATTGAGACGGTACACATAGACTCTGCCTTCTTCTCCACGAACGTGGTAAAACGGCGCAGCCACCAGCAAGAGGTCCGTGGTTCCATCCATGTTGATATCCACAGGACACAGCTCAGAGCCAAAATAGGACCCCATCTGCACCAGGGAGGAGCTCAGCTCAGCAGGAGCCCCACTCCTTCACCCTGCAACAAGGCTACAGCCCTGCCACCTGCTTCCTGGACCACCTGCTTCCCGGACCACCTGCTTCCCGGACCACCCAGTCTGGGTCATTACAGGTATTGATCGACTTACGACCTATGCAACTTACGACCATTCGACTTTACGATTACAATCACTAGCCACAACTGCTCTGCGTCTGGCAGCGCAAACGTTGCCCAGCTGGGCGTACAACAGTGCGGACCAGTTTCTGGCAGCACTACAATCTCCACGAGCACCATTTCAACTGTACATATAGCCTACTCAACTTATGACCAAATTGTGTTACGACCGTTTCGCGGTCCCGATCATGGTCGTAAGTCGAGCACTGCCTGTATGTATCATTTGCTCCCTGAGGTACCTGTAGAGCGGATGAGCACAAGCCCAGCAATCAGACACGCGGCCCTGGGCCAGGGCCCTGGAGCGTCACTCCGGAGCCTGAGTTTGACCCAGCCTGGGCCCTGGCCCACTGTGCACCCTGCGGCCCTCCCCTTTCCCTTGGGGCCTCCGATTCCCCATCTGTCACACGGGGTGGAGGCCTTCCCCTGCAGGTACCTGCTCTCCCTCCAGCACCGGCAGGAAGCTGGCCTCTCTGCCCTCCTGGAGCTCAAATACGGCCCCGCGGTGTTTGTACCGTGGAGCCCCCGCGACGTAGGACAGGCTGCAGGCCTTGTGCAGCACAGCCACAGAGTAACCTGCGGCAAGGGTGGTGCAGCTGTTGACGGGGGCTCCCACCCAGCCTCTCTCCCTGGCTCACCGCACCTTCCGAGTCAGGCCTCCAAAGAGGCCTGGGGAGGGGGCAGACTGGGAGAGACTGTCTTTCTCACTACAGTATATCAAAAATCAGCATCCACGAGCACTCTGACTTTGCCAGTCACACGCGACCCCATCACAGATGTGAGGCACACGCACAGTCCTGGATGCAGCTTTGCCCAAAATACTCGTTCACTCACACTCCCCACACTCACACACACCCTAGTGGAGTCTTGGTCTATCACCCAGGCTGGATGCAGTGGCACTATCTCGGCTCACTGCAGCCTCCGGCTCCCGGGTTCAAGCGATTCTCCTGCCTCAGCCTCCTGAGTAGCTGGGATTACAGGCGTGCACCACCACACCTGGCTAATTTTTGTGTTTTTAGTAAAGACAAGGTTTCACCATGTTGACCAGGCTGGGCTCAATCTCCTGACCTCAGGTGATCTGCCTGCTTTGGCCTCCTGTGATTACAGTCGTGAGCCACCTCGTCAGATCACACCACTGTTCTTAATGGAGAGGCCTGCTCTTCTTGTACCTGACAGGCCCTGTCCCTATCCAGGAGGTGGTAGTTCTCAACCTTGGGGTCCCTAACCAGGAACCGCCCCTTGGCCCATGTGACCGACCAGGTCCCGCCCCCATTCGGAAACCTCAAATGCAGCCTGATGCGCAGCCTCCGTGTTCCCATCGGCGATCCCACCTCGGGCCCGCCCTCGCCCAGGTAGCCCCAGGCCCCGCCCAGGTAGCCCCCAGACCCCGCCCTCACCCAAGTAGCCCCCAGGCCCCGCCCTCACCCAGGTAGCCCCCAGGCACCGCCCTCACCCAGGTAGCCCCCAGGCCCCGCCCTCGCCCAGGTAGTCCCCCAGGCCCCGCCCTCGCCCTGGTAGTCCCAGGCCCCGCCCAGGTAGCCCCCAGGCCCCGCCCTCACCCAGGTAGCCTCCAGGCCCCGCCCTCACCCACGTAGCCTCCAGGCCCCGCCCTCGCCCAGGTAGCCCCCCCAGGCCCCGCCCTCGCCCAGGTAGTCCCCCAGGCCCCGCCCTCACCCAGGTTGCCCCCAGGCCCCGCCCTCACCCAGGTAGCCCCCAGGCCCCACCCTCGCCCAGGTAGCCCCCAGGCCCCGCCCTCGCCCAGGTAGTCCCCCAGGCCCCGCCCTCGCCCAGGTAGCCCCAGGCCCCGCCCAGGTAGCCCCCAGACCCCGCCCTCACCCAGGTTGCCTCCAGGCCCCGCCCTCGCCCAGGTAGCCTCCAGGCCCCGCCCTCGCCCAGGTAGCCTCCAGGTCCCGCCCTCGCTCAGGTAGCCTCCAGGCCCCGCCCAGGTAGCCCCCAGGCCCCGCCCTCACTCAGGTTGCCTCCAGGCCCCGCCCTCGCCCAGGGAGCCCCCAGGCCCCGCCCTCACCCAGGTAGCTGTACTGCGCAGCCTCCGCGTCCGCCGCCGCCACCGTCTGGTTCAGGAAGCGGCCCCGGCGGCTGCGTGTGTCGTAGAGCAGCGCCCCTCCCGACCAGTCAAAGGCCCCGACGGCGCCGAGCAGCACCTGCCCCTGGAGGGGACAGGGATGGGGCCCAGATGAGCGGGAGGGACCCAGGCCAGCGCGGCTGACCTGGCTGGGAGGGGCGGGGCGTTCGGTGGCATAGAGCCCGCCTGGCCAGAGATGCAGGCGGGAGAGTGAGATGGCAACCCGGGGCTCCTTGCACTCCCTGCTCCGGGAGAAGCAAGCTTGGTTGCTAAGCTGGCCCAGGTCGGGTCCTGTTGACTGGTCTGTGTTCAGGGGAACGACTGGATATTTGAGCACACAGAAAAAAGTGACCTCCTGCCATAAATATGGCCACTCTTTCCACTATCTCAGTGGTCCAGATTATGGTGAGCGTGAAGAAATGTTGCCCTTTATCCTAAAATGGCTCTTTCAGGCCAGGCGCAGTGGCTTAGGCCTTGTCATCCCAGCACTTTGGGAGGCCGAAGAGGGTGGATCACCTGAGGTCAGGAGTTCGAGACCAGCCTGGCCAACATGGTGAAACACCCGTCTCTACTAAAAATACAAAATTAGCCAGGTGTGGTGGTGCACACCTGTAATCCCAGCTACTCGGGAGGCTGAGGCAGGAGAATTGCTTGAACCTGGAAGGCGGAGGTTGCAGTGAGCCAAGATCGTGCCCCTGCACTCCCGCCTGGGTGAGGGAGCAAGACTCTGTCTCAAAACAAATAAAACAAAATGAAATGGCTCTTTCTTTTTTTTTTTTTTTTTGAGACGGGGTTTCGCTCTTGTTACCCAGGCTGGAGTGCAATGGCGCGATCTCGGCTCACTGCAACCTCCGCCTCCTGGGTTCAAGCAATTCTCCTGCCTCAGCCTCCCTAGTAGCTGGGATTACAGGCACGTGCCACCATGCCCAGCTAATTTTTGTATTTTTAGTAGAGACGGGGTTTCACCATGTTGACCAGGATGGTCTCGATCTCTTGACCTCGTGATCCACCCGCCTCGGCCTCCCAAAGTGCTGGGATTACAGGCTTGAGCCACCGCGCCCGGCCCCCGAAATGGCTCTTTCAGAGGCATCACCACAGGGAGGTCAGAATCCTGAATGGGAGACAGGGGTCCCTGAATCCTAGGTGTCCTGGATCCCTCCCTAGTGGGCAAGCCTGCCTGGTGCTGAGTTGGCCACGTACCTCATCCAGGATCTGGGCACTGAAGCCAATCTGTGCCAGCTGGTAGTGAAGGGCATCTCCAACGGTGCCTGGAAGCAAAGAAGCCCAGTGAGACGGCTGTGGGCTGAGGTGAAGGGAGAAACCGAGTAAGGGGACCCTCCAGTTTGGCCTCACTCCCAGAGGGAATCATGCTTGATGTGACAGGCAGAGCACCCAGCTGACGGAAGAGACCCAGGTCCTCCTTGAGCAGCAACTGTCTGGGCAGTCACACTCTTTCTAGGCTTCAGTTTCCTCATCTGTGAGCTCCTGGGAGAGGGAACTATGCCCCAGTCATCCTTGTTTCTCCAGCACCAGCTCAGTTCATCAGAGCTTCACGAACATTGTGGGACGAAAGAAGGGCTGGGGATATTGTTGCCTCTGTGTGTGTGTGTGTGTGTGTGTGTGTGTGTATGTGTGTGTGTGTGTGTGAGAGAGAGAGAGAGAGAGAGGGAGACAGACAGACAGACAGCGTCTCGCTCTGTTGCTCAGGCTGGACTGCCATGGCTCAGTATCAGCTCACTGCAACCTGCACCTCCCAAGGTCAAGCGACCTGGTGCCTCAGCTTCCCAAGTAGCTGGGAATACAGGTCCTGTGCCACCACACACCACGCCCGGCTACTTTTTTTTTTTTTTTAAAGATGGGGTTTCGGCCGGGCACGGTGGCTCACGCTTATAATCCCAGCACTTTGGGAGGCCGAGGCAGGTGGATCACGAGGTCAAGAGATTGAGACCATCCTGGTCAACATAGTGAAACCCCGTCTCTACTAAAAATACAAAAAATTAGCTGGGCATGGCGGCGCGTGCCTGTAATCCCAGCTACTCAGGAGGTTGAGGCAGGAGAATTGCTTGAAGCCAGGAGGCGGAGGTTGCAGTGAGCCGAGATCGCGCCATTGCACTCCAGCCTGGGAAACAAGAGCGAAACTCCGTCTCAAAAAAAAAACAAAAAAAACAGATGGGGTTTCACCATATTGGTCAGGCTGGTCTCGAACTCCTGATCCGCCCACCTCAGCCTCCCAAAGTGCTGGGAGGGATTACAGGCGTGAGCTACCGTGCCCGGCTAATTTTTTTTTTTTTTTGAGACAGAGCCTTGCTCTGTCACCCAGGCTGGAGTGTGGTGGCCCAATCTTGGCTCAATGCAACCTCTTCCTCCTGGGTTAAGGCAATTCTTCTGCCTCAGGCTCCTGAGTAGCTGGGATCACAGGCCTGCGACACCAGGCCCAGCTAATTTGTGTGTGTGTGTGTATTTTTTTTTTTTTTTTTTTTTTTTTTTTTTTTTTTGAGACGGAGTTTCACTCTTGTTACCCAGGCTGGAGTGCAATGGTGTGATCTCGGCTCACCGCAACCTCCGCCTCCTGGGTTCAAGCAATTCTCCTGCCTCAGCCTCCTGAGTAGCTGGGATTACAGGCATGTGCCACCATGCCCAGCTAATTTTTTTTGTATCTTTAGTAGAGACGGGGTTTCACCATGTTGACCAGGATGGTTTCGATCTCTTGACCTCGTGATCCACCCGCCTCGGCCTCCCAAAGTGCTGGGATTACAGGCTTGAGCCACCGCGCCCGGCTTTTTTTTGTATTTTTAGTAGAGGCAGGATTTCACCACGTTGGCCAGGCTGGTCTGAACTCCTGGCCTCAATAGATACACCTGCCTCTGCCTCCCAAGGTGCTGGGATGACAGGCGGGCGTCACTGCGCCCGGCCATTGCCTTTTTTTTTTTTTTTTTTTTTTTTTTTGAGACGGAGTTTCGCTCTTGTTACCCAGGCTGGAGTGCAGTGGTGCGATCTCGGCTCACCGCAACCTCCGCCTCCTGGGTTCAGGCAATTCTCCTGCCTCAGCCTTCTGAGTAGCTGGGATTACAGGCACGCGCCACCATGCCCAGCTAATTTTTATATTTTTAGTAGAGACGGGGTTTCACCATGTTGACCAGGATGGTCTCGATCTCTCGACCTCGTGATCCACCCGCCTCGGCCGGCCATTGCTTTTTTTTTTTTTTTTTTTTTTTTTTGAGATGCAGTTTCACTCTTGTTACCCAGGCTGGAGTGCAATGGCGCGATCTTGGCTCACCGCAACCTCCGCCTCTTGGGTTCAGGCAATTCTCCTGCCTCAGCCTCCTGAGCAGCTGGGACTACAGGCACGCGCCACCATGCCCAGCTAATTTTTTGTATTTTTAGTAGAGACGGGGTTTCACCATGTTGACCAGGATGGTCTCGATCTCTTGACCTCGTGATCCACCCGCCTCGGCCTCTCAAAGTGCTGGGATTACAGGCTTGAGCCACCGCGCCCGGCCCATTGCCTTTTAAGACCCACAGCGGCTGTCGCTCAGCGCGCACCGGGAACCGCCGCGGGAGACCCCACGGAGGTGGGGGTTGGGGTGGGGGTGGCGGTGGGGTGGGGTGGGGTGGGGTGGGGTTGGGGGGTTGGGGGGCGGAGTCCGCGGCTGGAGCGCAGGCTCAGGCCTCCCGCGGTGCCGCCCGCAGCCTTCACCTTCCATGCGGACAATGTCGTGGCGCAGTTTGCTCAGCAGCCCGTCCAGCGCCTTGTAGTCGGTCACCTTGAAAGCGTGGGTCTCGTCCGGGTCTGAGGCGATCAGGTTCAGCTCCCTCAATGGCCTCTCAGACTTAAATTCCTTCCCCACCTGCACAGAGGCCCCCGGTCGGTGAGTAAGTGCGGCGAGGATCCGCCAGGCCCGGGGAGGGGCTCCGCTGCCGGCTCCTTCCTTCCTTCGCCCTCCTTTCCTTCCCCCTCGTTTATTTTCCCCTCCTTTCCTTCCCCCTCCTTTCCTTCCCCCTCCTCTCTCCCCCTCCTTCCCCCTCCTTCCCCCTCTTTTCCCCGCTCCCTGTTCTGCACACTCTCTGGGCGAGATTCCAGTTTGACCAAACGACACCGGTGCCCCTGAACACAGAGCTCCTCCTCACCCCTGCACAGGCTGTCCCCTCTGCCAGTAGGGCCCCTCCTCCCCTGTGCCCTGGGCCAGCCCCTCCCGTTTGCCTGCCAGGACGCAGCGCGGCACTGTGGCCTCCAGGAACCTGCCTCGGGGTGCTTCCTCTGGATTCCCCCATCGCTATTTGGCCCCTAAGCTGTGGCGACCATGGGGAAAGGAGCCCTCTCAGGGCATGGGGAGAAGAGCGTTTGTGAATGAACAGGATCTGCATAAGCTGCTCACAGAAAAGGCCCATCGACCACCCTGGCTCTTCCCCACCCCAGGCTGTGCAGGCTCCCGGCTCTTACCCCAATGGCAAAGCGCTCAACACCCTGCATCTTGGGAGAGCTGATGACTGTCTCAAGGTCGAGGGGGTCCTCGAATATGCCGCCGTCGGTGAGCACCACCATGACCCTGGATGCCTTTCTCCTGGAGCCGCGGCTTGCCGTGAAGATGCTGTCTCTAAGCAGGAGAGAGTCAGTGATGGAGAGAGCTTTGCCGGCAGGAGGGCTGACTCCGGGAGAGACTTGATTCTCTCAGCTGTGTTAGAAGGGGGAGGTTCACGACCCTCCCAATAGACCCAAAGAGGGCCGGGTGTGGTGGCTCACACCCCTCACACCTATAATCTCAGCACTTTGGGAGGCCGAGGCGGGTGGATGATGAGGTCAGGAGTTCCAGATCACCCTGGCCAACATGGTGAAACCCCGCCTCTACTAAAAATACAAAAACTAGTTGGGCGTGGTGGCACATGCCTGTAATCCCAGCTACTCGGGAGACTGAGGCAGGAGAATCGCTTGAACCCGGGAGGCGAAGGTTGCAGGGTGCTGAGATCGCACCACTGTACTCCACTCTGGCAACAGAGTGAGACTTCATCACAAAAAAAAAAAAAAAAAAAAAAAAAACCCACAGAAGGGGATGATGCCACTTAAGGCATGCAGCAAGGCTGGGCGGAGGCAGGGCTGCAGCACAGGTGTTAAGGTGCTGGACGGCAGTCTATTGCTTTTTTGCGTGTACAGGAATAGTAATGATATTGAAATGATGAATAATACTCACATGGCACTTATCACATGCAGGCACTGTTGTAAACACAGTATAGTTTAACCCATCCATCCTTTGCAAAATCTATCAGGCAAGTACTATTATTTTTCTTTCTTTTTTAGAGACAGCGCCTCACTCTGTCACCCAGGCTGGAGTGCAGTGGTGTGATCATGACTCACTGCAGCCTTGAACTCCTGAGCTCAAGCAATCTTCCTGCCTCAGCATCCTGAGTAGCTGGGACTAGAGGCACAGGCCACTGCTCCAGCTGTGAGTAGTAGTTTTCTTCTTCTTCCTCCTCTTCTTGTCTTCTTTTTCTTCCTCCTCCTCCTCCTCCTCCTCCTCCTCCTCCTCCTCCTCCCTCCTCCTCCTCCTCCTCCACCATTTTTGAGACAGATGGAGTTTCGCTTTGTTACCCAGGCTGGAGTGCAGTGGCATGATCTCAGTTCACTGCAACCTCCTCCTCCCGGGTTCAAGCAGTTCTTCCTGCCTCAGCCTCCCGAGTAGCTGGGACTACAGGTGAGGACCACCATGCCCAGCTAATTTTGTATTTTGGTAGAGAGGGGTTTCACCATGTTGGCCAGGCTGGTCTGGAACTCCTAACCTCAAGTGATCTACCTGCCTCAGCCTCCCAAAGTGCTGGGATTACAGGTGTGAGCTACCGTGCTCTGCCTATTTTTCTCATTTTTAAAGCGAGGAAACTGAAGCACAGGGTGGTCACAAAGTCCCTCAGTCTGTCCAAGGTCACACAGATACAAACCAGAGCTGAGAGTTGAACCCAGCCAGCCTGTTCACTGAGCACTCTGCTCTCCTGCCTCTCACAAGAGGAAGTCTTTGGAAGACTTTTTGAAGGAGAGTCTTGAGGTGTCATCCCTCATGTTCTGTCTCAGCCAGGGAAAGGCTGGAACCTTAATTCCCTTCTCCTCCAGTTCTGTCCGGCCACTTCCCGCAAGCAGGATGCCACAGAGACTCCGGGCATGGCCAGAATAATTCCTGCTGCTCCCACACTCACAAGACATGTTGCATGGCTGAGGCAGTCTTGGTGACATTCCCCACTTGAGTGATGTTCTGGACTCTGGAGAGGGTGGCCATGACATCCTGGCTGTCTCGAAGGTCAAACTCAGTCTGGATCACTGTCCCGTACTGCACCAGGGCAAAGTTGCACTGCAGGGGGTGGGAAGGAGGGCAGGAGGTTGGAAGAGTTGCCAGCCCTGCCCCTGAGATGGCTCCCCGTGGAAGCAGCAGAAAATCCACTCCTTCTAGCTTATCCCTGGGCAGAGCAACATCTCTAAATGAGTGGGGGTGGAGAAGGGCATGAGAGTAATGGCCCCCAGTGAATCACAGACCTCTGTCTAGCTCCCTGCATAGTCCCACCATACTGACTATGGGATTGGCCATGTGACTGGCTTTGGCCAATGAGACATCAGCAAATGGGATGCAATTAGAGACTTGAAAAATACTTGCATGTGTTGGATCTTGCTCTCTTAGAATGTTGCTGCCATGAAAAAGTTGGGCTGGCCTGCTAAAGACATGTGGTCTAGACAAGTGAGTGAGGTTATCTTAGACCATCCAGCCCCAGTCAAGCAACCAGATGCCTGCAGCTCCAGGGTAACTCCAGGAAAGATGGATAGAAGAACGATCCAGCTGAGCCCAGCCCAAGCATCTGACCCATACAATTGTGAGCAAATACAGTGATTACTGTTCTGAGGTAGGGGGATACTCATCATTGGAAAAGTGATAACCGATGTGAGACCAGCTCTTAGGAAGCCCACCTCAAAACACTTTTCATAGAAGTTCCTCATCATGTTGGAGATGAAGTCTTTGGCTCTCTGGAAGTCCGGGGGATCGATGCTTCCTGAGCCATCCAGGATGATGGCAATCTCCGTACCTGGCCAAGACAGACAGGTCAGGATTGGGCGTGGGATGTGAGGCAGATATGAGGGCAGTATGTGTAGGGCACACGCCCACGGTAACCCTGAGGGCTCAGTTCAGGGAAGAAGTTAGAGAGGCTCCCAAGAACAAAGCTTTTTTTTTTTTTTTTTTTTGAGACAGAGCTTCTCTCTTTTGCCCAGGCTGAAGGGCAGTGGTGGGATTTCGGCTCACTGCAGCGGTAGAGGTTCAAGTGATTCTTCTCCTGCCTCAGCCTCCCAAGTAGCTGGGACTACTGGTGCACACCATCATGCCCAGCTAATTTTTGAATTTTTTAGTAGAGCCGGAGTTTCACCATGTTGGCCAGGCTAGTCTCGAACTCCCGACTTCAAGTGATCCACCCACTTCGGCCTCCCAGAGTGCTGGGATAACAGGTGTGAGCCACCTGGCCTGGCCCCAAGAGAGCTCTTGTCTCCCGCTTCAAAAGAGAGCTAGAACCTGCTCAGGCTTTGCTTGCTGTGTGGGTCATTGCCATCACCACTGCTCTCCAAGCCTCAGTTTCCCCATTTGTAAGATAGAGGGTGGAGCTGATACTGGTCAGGCCTATAAAATCCAGCCACCGCTCCCCATCTCTCAAACTGAGGCGCCCCCACCCTTGTGGGCTGCCAGCCTAGGGGTTGGCTCTGATAGACTCGGAGCAACCCAGCTCTGCCGATTCTCACCAGCTTCCTCCTCCTCCTCCTCCTCCTCCTCCTGCTCCTCCGCCCTCTCCAGCGCCCGGCGCCGCCTGGCTGTGTCCATGTCCTCTCCCCTGCTGCTGTCTTTGTTTCTGTAGCAGTCTCCAGTGTCCACACGCACATCTGGATCCAGGAGGTTTTCTTTAAAAACATACACGGAAGAGCTCGGAGTCAGAAAGGCTCCGCCTTCACCTGAGCACACTCACACGTAGTTCTGCCCTGATTCCTGTCCTATGGTGCCTCAACCCTGCCTGGCTCCACTGTGGGGCGGTGACGTGACCCACGGCTTCTGCAATGAGCTGGTGCCTTTTCTTGAAGACCAAGGAAATCTCTTGTTTGTCTGTTTTTGAGACAAAATCTCACTCTGTTGCCCAGGCTGCAGTGTGGGGGCATGATCTTGGCTCACTGCTGCAAACTCCACCTCCTGCCTCAGCCTCCTGAGTAGCTGGGATTACAGGCACCTGCCACCACGCCTGGCTAATGTTTTGTATTTTTAGTAGAGATGGGGTTTCACTATGTTGGCCAGGCTGGTCTCAAACTCCTTCCTGACCTTATGGTCCGCCCACCTCAGCCTCCCAGAGTGCTGGGATTACAGGCGTGAGCCACCGCACTGGGCCTTTAGGAGATGTCCTTAGAGCTATCCAAGGCCAGTGAGTGTCCAATCCTTACCAAGGTTGAAGAAGTTGGCCTGAGCCTGCGGGCGGAGGTCAGGGGCCAGGAGGCTGCAGGTGCCTGTGAGTTCTGAGCTGAGGCTGTGGGGCTGCCGGGCCAGCACTTGAATGCATATCTGGGGGATGGAAGAGAGGGTAAGGAAAGACCAGGTCACCCTGTGTTCCTGAGCCACAGGCACATTCTCACCCCCATTCCAGAACTCAGTGGCTCAACCAGGCAGGGGCACAGAAACAGCCGCCCCCCGCCACCAGGTGTCAGAGTCAGTGCTGGGGTTAAGGCTGAGGTCCAGCCCTGCATGAGTGTGCTGGGTGACAGGGAGTACCTAGGTCCGCCCTGGCATCAGCACAGGTGGTTAAAGCCACAGTCAGCCCTGGGGTTGGCACCAGGGAGACAGCCAGACTCAGCCTCGGGAGCAGCATGCCAGTGGGAACAGCATCAGCACCAGGGTCAGCTGCAAGGGTGAGCACCCGCCTCCCGGAGGCCCTCCCTCCTCCCCACCCACCATGCACTCACCAGAACACCATGGTGGCTCCGGGCAACTGTCACTCCCCGGTGCTTCCCCTTGGGGTTGGGGACATCCTCTGAAAAAGCGAAACCCGGGTAAGGGCCTGGGGACTCTGGGAGGCAAAGACCTGAAGCCAAGGTCAGAGGCACAGGCCCACCTTGGTCAGGGCCCCATGAGGACCTGCTGGCACTCAGAGAAGCCTCTGGAAAGCTAGAATGGAGGCCTTCCAGGTCAGGCCTGAACACATCCGGGGCCGAGTGCCCATCCGTGGAGCTCACCGACTGACCATTCAACGCAGGCCCATGGCGTCTGCTGTGTGTCCAGCCTGTGAACATGCTGGCGGGCGTCCAGCAGTGGCTGATGCCCAGGGCTTTCCCCAGTGGGCTTGGCAGGGAGGATGTGTGGAGAAGCACCACCTGGTGGGTGGGTGAGTGCCAGGGAATGTTCGCAATGCCGCGAAACTGGCTGTGTGACCCGGGGAATCCGCCAACCTCAAAGACCCATCCTGGGGAATGAACCTTACTGCCCACAGCCTCAGGGGCAGAAATGGCAGCTTCTTCCTCTTCGTCCCACTGTCAGCCTCAAGACACTGTCTTATTTTTGAGTCACTCAGTCAACCCTGCTGGACTGAGATTGAGTCTGTTCACCTAAGTCTGGCTCTGTTGCCCAGGCTGGAGTGCAGTGGCGCAATCTCGGCTCACTGGGTTCAAGCGATTCTTCTGCCTCAGCCTCCCAAGTAGCTGGGATTACAGGCGCGCACCACCATGCCTGGCTAATTTTTTTTTTTTTTTTTTGGATATGGAGTTTTGCTCTGTCACCCAGGCTGGAGTGCAGTGGCGCAATCTCTGCTCACTACAACCTCCGCTTCCTCAGGTTCAAGCAATTCTCCTGCCTCAGCCTCCCAAGTAGCAGGGATTATAGGCATCCACCACCATGCCCCGCTAGTTTTTGTGTTTTTTTTTGTTTTTTTTTGTTTTGTTTTGTTTTGTTTTTGAGACGGAGTTTCACTCTTGTTCCCCAGGCTGGAGTGCAATGGCACGATCTCGGCTTACTGCAACCTCCGCCTCCTGGGTTCAGGCAATTCTCCTGCCTCAGCCTCCTGAGTAGCTGGGATTACAGGCACGTGCCACCATGCCCGGCTGATTTTTTGTATTTTTAGTAGAGACGGGGTTTCACCATGTTGGCCAGGATGGTCTCGATCTCTTGACCTCGTGATCCACCCGCCTCGGCCTCCCAAAGTGCTGGGATTACAGGCTTGAGCCACCGCGCCCGGCCAGTTTTTGTGTTTTTAGTAGAGACGGGGTTTCACCATGTTGGCCAGGCTGGTCTTGAACTCCTTTTTTATTATTATTATTTTTTTATTTTCTACAACTAGTGCTACTGAAAAAAGGAAGCATCTGTAATTTTTGTACTTTTACTAGATACAGGGTTTTGCCACATTGGCCAGGCTGGTCTCAAACTCCTGACCTCAGGTGATCCTCCCACCTCGGGCTTCCAAAGTGCTGGGATTACAGGCATGAGCCATAGTGCCCAGCCTCAGACAAGGATTCTATTTATAATATATATATTATAAATAGAGGTTGTCAGTAATCTGTGACTTGAGTTTGATTGGGTAGGATGCATAGAGTTTAGTTAATGAATGAAACAGGTTCATTCATTCATTCATTCAAATGCCATTTACTGAGTACTTATTATATGCTGGGCCCCATGCTGGTTCCTAGGATGGCACAGTTAGACTGAACAGGTAGGGGTGAATTCCACTGAGATGTGATGAATTGCATCAGGATGGGCTAGAGCGTGGAATCAGCTACCGACAGTAAAAGTGTGACCTTTGTCATACTGGTCACCAAAAGACTTAAATCATCTGAACTATAACTTCCTCTCTTGTAAACGGTGTGGTTTTGAGGATGAAAAGTGAATGACTCATAGACAGCCAGGCACACGGTGGGCACGCAATACCTCTTAGTATGATTTCTGTGGCTAGGACTTCATCAGGAAAGGGTGCTGGGGTTTAAGATTGGGCTGAAGTGAGGCTGGGCATTGGGACGGAAGTCTTGCTGTGGGCAGTGCTGGAGTCCAGGGGTGGATGGGCTGGGTCAGGCAGGGCTGGGTGGGAACCGCTGGGTTTAGATGAGTGGGATTGCTAGAAAGGGATCCTGGAGAGCATTTCCTGGAGTTGGGGCTGACTTACCTACAGGATGGCAAAGGATTTTATCCTGGGCAAGGACACATCGATGGAGGGGCTCTGGTGTCGTCTTGGTTCTGGGGCTGGTGACCAGGAGCCTGAGTAGGAGGGAGATGGCAGAGCTGAGCTAGCTGGCTGACGTTTCTTCTCCCAGCCTGCCCAGTCACTTCCCCTTCCAGCTGCGTGGCTTACAGGCTCCTGTCTGGCTGGAAGATTCCTAGCCCAGACTCTGCATTATGGGGAAGACATCTCAACCTCTACCTCTGCATGGCTCCAGGCAGGAAATGGTTAAATGCAACCCCTCATCAACCCTGACAAAGAAGGGGCGATACTGACGGTTAATAAAAACTCTGTTCTCTTGTGGGGACAGGGACGGGAGACCAGAACCACCAGCAACCGGGTTGGTTCCGTTGGGGGCAGTACTGGCTTCCTGAGGATCCACCCAGGGGACCTGCCCTGACTGGCCTTGGTTCCTGGGAAGAACACGCTGGTGCCCCTATCCTGTGAGTCAGTCAGAACTGGAGGGTTGGAGGCTGGGCGCCGTGGCTCACGCCTGTAATCCCAGCACTTTAGGAGGCCAAGGCAGGCGATCTCCTGAGGTCAGGAGTTCGAGACCAGCCTGACCAACATGGTGAAACTCTGTCTCTACTAAAAATACAAAAATTAGCCAGGTGTTGTGGCACCTGTAGTCCCAGCTACTTGGGAGGCTGAGACAGGAAAATTGCTTCAACCTGGGAGGTGGAGGTTCCAGTGAGCTGAGATCATGCCACACTGCACTCTAGCCTGGGCAACAGAGTGAGACTCTGCCTCAAAAAAAAGAAAAGAAAAGAAAAAAAGAACTGGAGGTTTGGGGGTGGCTGCCTCAGCCTGATTAAGGCAGCCTCAGGAGATATGATTCCTGACTACAAACTTCTTACCCCCAAGCAGCCCCAGACCAGGGAGACAGCAGAGTCCAGTGACAGCCTAAACATTCTCGCCATCCACGTTCCCCAGGCAGCACTGAGCTGTCTGGAGACAGAGAGGGAGCTCCTGGGGTTGTAACAAGGGACGGGGGACTGGGACCCGACATGGGTGGTAACAGTGAACTGACTTCAAGGTATTTCTGTGGATGGTAGTAGGAAGCCATGGAGGACTTTATAAAGGGGGAGTGTGGCCGGACGTGGTGGCTCATGCCTGTAATCCCAGCACTCTGGGAGGCCGAGGTGGGTGGATCACCTGAGGTCAGGAGTCCAAGACCAGCCTGACCGACATGGAGAAGCCGTGTCTCTACTATGAAAAAAATTACAAAATTAGCCAGGTATGATGGCGCATGTCTGTAATCCCAGCTACTCGGGAGGTTGAGGCAGGAGAATCGCTTGAACCCGGGAGGCAGAGGTTGTGGTGAGCTGAGATCGCACCACTGCACTCCAGCCTGGGCAACAAGAGCAAAACTCTTGTCTCAAAAAAAATAAAAAAAAAAAAATAGGCCGGGCGCGGTGGCTCAAGCCTGTAATCCCAGCACTTTGGGAGGCCGAGGTGGGTGGATCACGAGGTCGAAAGATCGAGACCATCCTGGTCAACATGGTGAAACCCTGTCTCTACTAAAAATACAAAAAAACTAGCTGGACATGGTGGCGCGTGCCTGTAATCCCAGCTACTTAGGAGGCTGAGGCAGGAGAATTGCCTGAGCCCAGGAGGCGGAGGTTGCGGTGAGCCGAGATCGCGCCATTGCACTCCAGCCTGGGTAACAAGAGCGAAACTCCGTCTCAAAAAAAAAAAAAAAAATTGGGGGATGGTGGCAGGAAGCTCATAATTAGTTGTGCTTTCAAAGGTCATGATGTGGCTACCGTGGGTTGGGACAGACTGAAAGGCACAGGATGGGGCCAGAGATACTGTCTTCATGTCCTCAGCTCCTGTCATTACACGTTAACCAGTTATGAAGTCTGTTGACACGTCGGGGTGTCTTACTGGATAATAATGAGGTCTACGCCTGTGTGTGCTTCCGCCCACCCCCAACTCAGCCACCCAAGTCAAACTTCCAGCCTCCTCGACTCGGTCCCCACAATGCCACATCCAGCAGTCCCCTCACTGTCCTCACCTTCCTCAACCTCTCAGAAGGCCTGGATATGAGCAACCATCTCCCTGAAACCCTTTCTTTTTTCTATTTATTTATTTAGAGATGGAGTTTCCCTCTTGTTCCCCAGGCTGGAGTGCAGTGGTGCAATCTTGGCTTGCCGCAACCTCAACCTCCTGGGTTCAAGCGACTCTCCTGCCTCAGCCTCCTGAGTGGCTGGGAATACAGGCGTTGCACCACCATGCCCAGCTAATTTTTTATATTTTTAGTAGAGATGGGGTTTCTCCATGTTGGTCAAGGTGGTCTTGAACTCCCGACCTCAGGTGATCTGCCCGCCTCAGCCTCCAAAAGTGCTGGAATGACAGGCGTCATCCCAAGCCATTGTGCCCGGCTCCTTGAAACACTTCTAGATTTCTCCCACTCATTCATCACTCCTCAGAAGCCTTTGCTGGCACCTTTGCGGTCTGACCTCTATCTGCCACCAGAACCCTGGGGCAGGTCATTGTCTTCCTGGCCGGCACACTCTCCTAGGGATCCCTTGTATGGCTTCAATACACCTATAAATGCTGAAATTCCCACCCTGCCATCTGCTAGAGCAAGCAGAATAACGGTCCCCCAAAGATGTCCACGTCCGATTCCCCAGAACGTGTGACTGTGTTGCCTTTATGGCAAAAGGAATAGATGTAGATGGGATTAAATAAATTAAGGATCACGAGCTGGGGGTTATCCGGGATGATCTGGGCAGGCCCCTGCAATCACAAGGGCCCTTCTACGAGGGAGTCTGGAGAATCAGAGTTGGGAGTCGGCAGAGGAGGAGGCTGTAAGCCGAGGAGTGCAGGCAGCTTCTAGAAGCCGAAACAGGCAAGAAAATGGATTCTCCCCCAGAGCTTCTAGAAGGGACCCAGTCCTGCTGACACCTTTTCAGACTTCCAGCCTCCAAAAGTACAAGATAATAAAAGTTGCAGCCAGGTGCGATGGCTCACGCCTGTAATCCCAGCACTTCAGGAGGTTGAGGCGGGTGGATCACCTGAGGTCAGGAGTTCAAGACCAGCCTGACCAAAAGGGCAAAACTCCATCTCTACTAAAAATACAAAAATTAGCTGGGCATGGTGGTGCACGCCTGTAGTCCCAGCTACTCGGGAGGCTGAGACAGGAGAAATGCTTGAACCCAGGAGGTGGAGGTTTTTGTGAGCCGAGATTGCACCACTGCACTCCAGCCTGGGCGACAGAGTAGAAAAAAAAGATAATAAGCTTGTGTTGCTGTAAGCCACTCCGTTTGTGGTAACTTGTTACAGTGTCAATAGGAAACACACAGGACTCATGGTCTTTCCTCCCAAGCCGGCTTCTTCTCATCTTCCCCCACAGCAAATGCCACCAGCAACCACCAGGTTCTAGAGAAGGAGCTCAGGGGCTGGCCTCGCTTCCCGCACGCTTTCCACTCATCCAGTCCACCTGCCAACGCGGTTGCTTCTTTCTCCAAATTCTTTCTTTTTTCTTTTTGTTTTAGACTGAATCATCTCACTCTGTCGCCCAGGCTGAAGTGCAGTGGTGCGATCTCAGCTCACTGCAAACTCTGCCTCCTGGGTTCCAGCGATTCTCCTGCCTCAGCTTCCCGAGTACCTGGGATACAGGCGCCCATCACTGTGTCCAGCTAATTTTTGTATTTTTAATAGAGATGGGGTTTCACCATGTTGGCCAGGCTGGTCTTGAACTTGTGACCTCGTGAATCACCTGCCTCAGCCTCCCAAAGTGCTAGGATTACAGGTGTTAGCCACAGCGCCCGACCTTCTTCTTCTTCTTTTTTCTTTTCTTTTTTTTTTGAGACTGAGTTTCACTCTCGTTGCCCAGGCTGGAGTGCAATGGCACGATCTCGGCTCACTGCAACCTCTGCCTCCCAAGTTCAAGCGATTCTCCTGCCTCAGCCTCCCGAGTAGCTGAGATTACAGGCATGTGCCACCACACCCTGCTAATTTTTATATTTTTAGTAGAGACGGGGTTTCCCCATGTTGGCCAGGCTGGTCTCCAACTGACCTCAAATGATCCACCGACCTTGACCTCCCAAAGTGCTGGGATTACAGGTGTGAGCCACCATGCCTAACTCTCCAAATTATTCCTAGAAGGCGTCTGTTCTGCCAACGTTCCTTGCCATCATCATTCTGTGTGGTCTGTGGTACTAGCCTCCTGTTACTCTGTGGGGTTTGTTTGTTTGTTTGATTTCTAGGCAAGTGTCCTGCTCTGTTGTCCAGGCTGGAGTGCAGTAGTGTGATCACAGCTCACTGCAGCCTTGACCTCTGGGCTCAGGCCATCCTCCTCCCTCAGCCTCACAAGTTGCTGGGCCGACAGGAGCGAGCTACATGTCCAGCTGGTTTTGTTTATTTTTTATAGAGATGAGGTCTCGCTGTGTTGGCCAGGCTTGTCCTGGGCTCAAGAACTCCTTCCGCCTGGCCTTGGCCTTCCAGAGTGCTGGATTATATAGCAGAAGTGAGCCACCGTGCCTGGCCCATTTATTTGTTTTTTAATTTACTCAAGTAATTTTTTTTTTTAAGACACAATCTCTCTCTGTCACCTACATTGAAGTACAGTGGTGTGACCATGGCTTAATGCAGCCTTGACCTCCCAGGCTCAAGTGATCCTCCCACCTCAGTCTCCCAAATAACTGGGACCACGGATGTGTGCCATCACACCTGGCTAATTTTCTTTCCTTTTTTTCTTTTCTTTTCTTTCTTTCTTTTCTTTTTCTTTTTTCTTTTCTTTCTTTTTCTTTCTTTTTTTTTTTTTTTTTTGTTTGCTTTTTGTTTTCTGTTCGAGACAAAGTCTCACTCTGTCACCAGCTGGAGTGCAGTGGTGCAATCTTGGCTCACTGCAACCTCTGCCTCTTGGGTTCAAGCAACACTCCTGCCTCAGCCTCTCAAGTAGCTGGGATTATAGGCACCCACCACCATGCCCAACCTATTTTTTGCATTTTTAGTAGAGACAGGGTTTTGACATGTTGGCCAGGCTGGTCTTGAACTCCTGACCTCAGGTGATCCAGCAACCTCAGCCTCC